AGAGAGGGAGAGAAAAGAAAGAGAGATCGAGAGAGACTTATTTTGTCTATTTAGTCGGATGCCCCTAAATTGGGCGACGTTTGATGCATGGTTGTTCAAAGGGATTAACAGGATACCCCATTGGTCGAGTTCCCCTTTTCTTAAGACTCATATTTCCTTTAAGGCTGTCAACAGCTTCCAGAGTGTCGGCCTGGTAGAATCTTGTCATTACGACTTACACAGACGGCTTGCCAATCGGCCAAGTGCAGGCTTTCTGAATGCGGCCCATGCCCAATCAAATTGGTCGCTTCCTGTTGGTTTTATTCTAAATGCCACACAAGCTCAGGGATTCGTGGTGCATTTGAGACTTAAATCTCCGACTCTGACCTGCGCCTTACTTGTGTCACAATTTGCGTTTGTGTGTGTGTGTGTGTGTGTGTTGTGTTTTACCTCTTTGGTGAACCTGCCTACTTTTGGGCTGTCCTTTTGGAGACAAGCCATTGAGGGCTCCAAAGCGGCGGTATTTGCCAAAAGCGTTGTTTGATTTCCTGGCAGGGTTCCAAGTTCCAAGGCCCAGTGCTTTAGCGGCATCTGAGACATCGGTGATGGCTACCCAACAAAAATAGTAAGCCTCAGAAAGACATGGCTCCCCTGCTCGCCCTTTTCGGGTCACCGGAGTATCCGAGAGTATCCGGTTCAGATTTTGTTTCTCAGCACCCCTGAGGCAAGATGATGCCAATCCGGATATGGGTCTGAGCCGCTTGCGTTCTTGGGAGCTCAATTGATTTAGGCCTCCAGCGGGGAATCTCCTTTCTTAATCCTTGTTTGGAGGGAGCTGCAAACAGCACCTTGTTCTCTATGGCCACCGGAGGTCCGGGGTTCGTGATCTTTTGGCGTCCCCCCAATGAACTGACGCAAGCAAGGGAGTAGCGGCTGTTGGTATGGGTCCTAGTTTTTCGCATCAAGAAACCCTGACATGATGACTCCCCTGCAAATACCAACGAACAACGGTTTCCCATGGTTTCAAAGCGGTGCACATGGATTTCGTCCATCCACAGTATGGTGCATTAGATCACTCCACGCAGTGCCGGTTCCAGTCTCAGTTCGCCAATGCCTCCTGCAAAAAAGTGCGGTAGACCTTGGCGGGTAGTAGTACTTTATACTTGGGCAATTGTCTTGGAGTAACGCCCTTCTACTACCGTTTATGGGGGAGTATAGGCAGGACTCCGCAATCCTTTATGGCCGTGTTGGTAGAACCGAACGTGAATGGGTATGTGGCGCTGCCTTCTTAATTGAGCTGAGGCGGCCAAGCAAACTTTCAATTGTTTTTTCAACGAACCCTTCACATACCTTTTGACCATATCCCAACCCTCACGGTATGAGGTTCGCTCGAAAAGGTATGGAGGGCTCGTGGAACCCTTGTAAGTTGAATCATCTGCCTATGGCAGCCCTGAAGCAACTCTCCGTACTTGAGCTTCCGATTGCGTCCGGCGCAGCCTCCGGAGCCAAAAAGTACGAAGAGTTGCCACTATCAAAGGAGGTGGCCATATAATTACACCAGGTTGCGGCCCCCGAGTCGCTCAGTGGAGTTCAGGCCTCTGAGCAGATTTTGTCTCGTGTGGGTTCCTCGGTAAACATGCAGAATCAATCATGCAAAGAAATGTCCCGTGGTCAAATTAAATGACCCTTTTGCTTGAGGCTTGCAGGGCTGCTCAGCTGACCAGAAGCAACCTGTCCTTTTCTTTGGGTGAGATTCATGATTCCCGTTGTATCGGGCATTCAGGAAGCTGAGGTCAGCCTAGGTGAGGTCAGGCGAAGGTTCAAGCGAGCCGAACACGGCACTGGGGAGTGGCTCCAGAGGGCCGATTGGCCAAGTTGTACATAGGCAGTTTTGCTCCAACCCGTTCGCTCCATTGGGCACCAGGGCGGTCCGTTCCGTGGTTCTGGCTGTCCGTATTGCTCTCCGTGGTTTGGACATGGTCAAGCCTTCCGATGTTTGTTAGAAATGGGGCGCCAAGGCCTTTGTTGAAGCTATGTTACATGGTGAGGACGTCTAAGTATGGGCCGGAATGAAATATGTTACGTTTGGTCGAAGATTGCGAGGGGCAAAATGGCTACAACCAATATTCACCATGTGATTATGACTTGGAAGGTGTTTGTATAGGAGCCCACAGGTTTCGGCAAAAGGACACAAACGGACCACTCTGCTGGGAACACAATTCATGATAATTCATGCCTTTTGACGGGCACGCTCAGGTAACATCGCTGGTATGGAGGCTGCATACCACCTAATATGGCATACTGCCTTACAAACCTAGATTGGTGGTATAAAAGCCGCTTCTTACCATCAAAATCCCGACCTGAAATGCGTTTGCTCCTTAGCCATGTCTTTAGCAGCGGGGAAAGCGGTGCCAGAAGAGGCTCGGTCCTTAGGTGACCAATTGTGAACCCGGCCATCGTGCAGGCTGCTTCAGCGTGGTTTTCTTTCTATTGGAGGGGGTTTTGAAACTTCAAGGAGGAAGCCGGAATTCTGTTGAGCAGCTGGTTGAAACCAATTTGTCAAGAAATCAAGCCCAACAAATCAAAGCGCGCCGTGTTTGTTTTCAGGTTCCGCTTAGAGAGCGCTTTTATTATTGATAGGCCGGAATCAAAACGACCCCGCCTGTGCTGCTTTGCCATCCCTGTCGGCTGGACATATTTTCGAAATCGTCCATTGTTTCAAAGGCTGATTGTATTGTATAGGTCCGTATATGATCATGGCCATGTATGATCCTTTGGGGCTGAGTTCCCAGAACTAAGCCAAAAGTAAGGGTTAATGACCATGAACTAGGGGTTCATACCAGGGGTTCATATATGGAAGTATGCATTCAGACTTTGAGTGTTCTGTTTGTCTCTTGGCAAGCTCACAAGTAAAACGAGCTCAGAGCACGCATTAACTCACGTTTCGGGAGTTTTATAAACCGTGCTGTCTTTTGCTCGGGTGGAGGGGGCCCACTCAGTTTCTTGTTCGTTATCACGGGTTTGATTGAACATAGCAATACAGCCAGCTACACCAAAACTAACAACATATCATTTTGCAGGGTCCCCCGTTTGACACACCCAGCTTGGTTCCCGGCCTTATTTCACTTCAGCTTTGCCTCCAGATTGCCAGATTGCTTTCTTGCCAGATTGCTTTCCCTTTCAGGCTGCTTGCCACATGAGCCTGAAAAGTCTCTTTTTGGCATGTATATGTAGTTGTTTCTACTACCTTGCTTGGGGATCTTCGTTTTGCGGGCATAAGGCTCTCAAGTGCACGAGCTCGGTCTTGCGCTTTGGTCTACGAAGCGAAGAGTCCTGTTTTGGGTACCTTGGCTTCGGGCCGTAAAGTATTTTTCTGATGTTTGCGGCCTCTTCATTTCCCTCAGGCTCAGGATGGCTAGGTAGAAAATGAGCTTTTCGTCCTCCACCTCCTGTCTCCCCTTCCCCCCCCCCTCCCCCCGAGTAAGGGGGAGTGCAACCAACAAGGGAAACCATTGCAACGATTTTTTCTGAAGAGTTGTTTTTTGCCAACGAAAACGCACCAGCTTGTCCAGGCTGAATGCTTTGTGGCAAAAGTGCCAGGGTCAACAAGCAGTCTGGATTGTTTTGACAACTCCCTGCCAGCTTCCTGCCGGCTTCGGGTCTCTTGGCTCGAAAAAACGCCTGGCGTTCAGCCCCCCGCGCGCGCTGTCGCTCCCGCGCCATCCCCGCGCCGCGCTTCGGCGAGTTCAAGATGGACGAGCCGGGGCCTCGGGCTGGCCACGGCTGGATGGCCGGATGGCCGGATGGAAGGAGCAAGCAGTCGGATCTTGTGGGCTTCTCTTTGTTTCCCATGAGCGGTCCCCCCAAAAAAGTACTTGTGGTCCCATGGCATCCGCGATGGCATTGGTGCTTCAGGGGCCCCACTGCCGAAGGAAATAGTGATGTCATTGTTTACGCCACATATCTGAACCCAAGAGAGGGGCGAGTGTGGGAACAGGGCTTTCCGTATGATTTTCCTCGCCTATTAAATGGAAGGTACGCGAGCGTGGGCTTGCTTGGACTTGTTTTGGGCTCACAGTACCCGTCAGGCAAATTCCTTTCATCCCACATTGTCGCTAGGCGACTTACTGTACCTGAACCCAGAGAGGATGTTGTTGGTGCTTGTTATGCATTTTTGTTTGCTTGCTTTCTAATTGGGACGCTTGCTCCCCACAAACCACGCCATACTCTAGGCAAGCATCGGGTATGTAACCCGTATCAGGAAATGATAGTCATTTGTGCTTGTGGAAGCTCTTTCCCTGAGGGTGCAAACTTGGTGGAACGGGTCCATGAGCCCAGATAATTGCTTGCTTTGCGGTGACTTGCTTTGATCATAGTCGTCCTACCTTGCTTGCCCTGTAAGAGGGCGCACGCTTTCCCTTGGATCACGGCGAATCTCGGGATTGTATCCCCGATGAAACGGCTACATGGTGATGACGTGAGTTATTTTAACCTGAGGGCAGCGGCCAGAATATTGCTGCTTGTTTCTTGGCAAGCGAGGGATTACCTTGCAGCCTTTGAGCTCAAGCCATGGTGAAGCTGCGCGTTTCTTGAAAAGTTGCTTATTCACATGGAATGGCTCTGGTCATTCTCCAAGATACAGTGCGTCACAACCATCATAGGGGGGAATTTGTACGTCAGAAGCAAAGTAATACTTGGCTTCTGACGTTTTGCGGGCAGAACATGACAAAACATAGGTTGCCGACCGCTGGTGATTTCTCCTGAGCCCATCACTTTGGGCAAACATCCAGAGTTAGTTCAAGTGAGCTTCCCTTCTACCTAGTGACTCTGAATGCTGGTCGTGGCAGAGTGCTCCACCGACCAGGGACTTATTCTGCAGGAAGAAAGGAGAAAAAGAGGGAGGGAAGGAAAGAGGTTGTTTGGATGGACCTCATTTTATGGCAGGCTTGTTAACTATCTTTAAGCAATATCTCCTATATGGGGATATGGTTTATCGGAGGCCATAAGTCGGCACCAGTCGGATGTCGCAGCCATGGCAGCTGGGACCTCCGGACTACCAGAACCTCACGAAGCTCGCTGCAAAATCCCAGGGGCTTTCCCGGGATCCCTTGAACAAAGGCAGTCTGTTCACCAAAATATGGCCCACACATATCCGTTTGTTTTGGTTGGTTGGTTGGTTGGTTGGTTGGTTGGTTGGTTGGTTGGTTGGTTGGTTGGTTGGTTGGTTGGTTGGTTGGTTGGTTGGTTGGTTGGTTGGTTGGTAATTAGGTTGGTTGGGTTGGCTGGTTGGTTGGTTGGTTGGTTGGTTGATCGGGGGCAGCCTGGTTGGTTGGCTGGCTGGCCGGCCGGCCGGTCGGGCGGTGGGTTGGTTGGTTGGTTGGCTGGCTGGCTGGCTGGCTGGTCGGTGGGTTGCTTGGTTGGTTGGCTGGCTGGCTGGCTGGCTGGCTGGTCGGTTGGTTGGTCGGTGTGTTGGTTGGTTGGTTGGGTTGGTTGGTTGGTTGGTTGGTGGCTGGCTGGCTGGCTGGCTGGCTGGCTGGCTGGCTGGCTGGCTGGCTGGCTGGCTGGCTGGCTGGCTGGCTGGCTGGCTGGCTGGCTGGCTGGCTGGCTGGCTGGCTGGCTGGCTGGCTGGCTGGCTGGCTGGCTGGCTGGCTGGCTGGCTGGTCGGTTGGTTGGTCGGTATGTTGGTTGGTTGGCTGGCTGGCTGGCTGGTCGGTCGGTTGGTTGGTTGGTTGGCTGGCTGGCTGGCTGGCTGGTCGGTTGGTTGGTTGGCTGCCTGGCTGGCTGTCTGGCTGGTCGGTTGGTTGGTTGGTTGGTTGGCTGGCTGGCTGGTCGGTTGGTTGGTTGGCTGGCTGGCTGGCTGGCTTGCTGGTCGGTTGGTTGGTTGGCTGGCTGGCTGGCTGGTTGGTTGATTGGGCGCAGCCTGTTGGTTTTCAAGGGGAATGGGCAAGACTGCCAGATACATCATCACCCTGAGCACATGGAAGGTGTTTTTTTTGGTGGTGACACTTGGAGGATTGTTGCTAGGGATTCTTTCGGATTTTTTTGAGCAGCATGCAGAGGGATTGATTCATCAAGCCCCTTGCCAGCTTCTCTTTTCGGTATATGTCAAAGTGCAGGGACCTTCGGGTTTCCCTTTTAAGCCAACCTGAAGAGAGCAATATTTAATTACACCATAATCAACCCAAGTTCATTAACAGGGGGGTGTTTTTCCCTAGGTTTAGTGGTTGGACTTAGACCACTTTTGGGGGGACCAAAACCACCCGCGGAACTAAACAAACTGGCTGGTTGATTTTTCCATGGGGGCAACATAATCCCTCACCCCACTACTTTTCAAGGGAAGCATGTTGCAGGTGGTTTGGTTACCTTTTAATTCAAAGTACCCTCAATGGACACACCAAAAAGCCAAGCAGATGACACCCTACCTCCGGCATCCCCCATCAGCCCCACAGAAACCCGTGCAAACCGCTCAAAAAGCCACGGCATTCGCGACGCTCGTTGGACCTGAGGAACTTCTTCCCCCTCTACTTCGGTGCCACGGATGGGGGCGTCATGGCCCGGGAAGAGGCGCAAGAGGCGCTGCAATGGACCATGGCCTTTGCCACTCGGCTCAGCCAAGTCCAGTGGCGGGCACTCGGGGGTTTCTAGAACCACTTGTCAGACTTGGTGGTTCCCAGCCATCCTCTTAGCCTTTTAGCCTTTGGGTGTTTAGTGGTAGTTTCCATTTAACCCACTGAAAGTTGAACTTTTAGCGGGGCATCTGAGGGCAGCCCAGGAGACACAAGGGGGTCTTCACCTTTATTTGAGGGGTTGAGGCCCTATTTGTGTTTTTGCAGAAGTGGATTCCATTTCAACCACAGCCCTGGCCAAGTCGGACCAGGTGTGTTTGATTTGCCCGCTGCTTGTGGCTTGGATCTTTGAACGTTATATCTTCTTCGGGAAATGTGTCCTTCCCCAAAGCCGCGAAGAGTTAAGCTTCTTGCGCAGGGGGCCATAGCCGCCAAGCCCCCTGCAAGAACCGGGGCTTCTCGTTTCAGCAGAACCAAGTTCCCTTTGTGAGATGTGCATGCGCGGATGAACTTATTTGGTCCTCCATTGTGCGGGGCATTTTATTGGCATGTGTTTGTGGGGCATCGCCTTTGGCCCTGTTTCTGTTGGTTTCGGTCCTCTCTATAGAGGGCATCCTTTTGTGGCCCTCATTTTGAGGCCATCATTGATGGAATGAACCCTTCTTTCTAGGGGTAACTTCCCCATTCTTTCCAGGGATCCTTCTTTCTAGAAAATCACCAAGCACCTGGGGAAATGGCTGGTTTTTGAAAAGAACGATGGTGCAAAGAATGGAAAAGGAATCAAACCCTAGATTCTTCTTCCGCCCATTTTCCTTGGCCCTCCGCCCATTTCCGATTCGCGTCGCAGCAACAGAAATAGCATGGTATAGCTGAGTGAGACAATCCATCTAAATATGCACACCTTCTCCATAGCCTCAGTTGTTCAGTGGCACCCGTTTTCCCTTCTTCTTTTTGGTTCCCCCACTCAAAATGGTCTTCCCCAATAAGGGTTCGCTTTTTTCTCCAGGGTCACTGAACAACTGAGTAACGAAACACATCCAAAAGGGAGCAGACAAGCCACTCAACGGGGGGCGAGTTGCTGGTTTTAGGTCTACGCCAGCTGCAACCCCGCGCTGCCAGAGATAGGCCTGGCGCTGCAGAGCCGAAGCCCGGCTTCAGCTGTTTGTTGCTCGTTGCATGGTTCTTGTTGGGAAACCTTTTACATTTTTGCTTGTTGTGATTAGGGGTTGAAATCCAACCACGTAGCTGCTAAAAATCAAATTTTTGCTCCCCTTCCAACGTCAACCAAGGTTGTTTTTTCTTAAGTTTTTCTGGCCGTATTTGGGAGCACGGGCACTGAGCATTTGGCCAGTGGCTGTCATGGTTCCTCGGCCCCAGATGACTCCGGCAGGAAGCGATACGTGAATCTGTCCATTGCTCAGATGGCTGTGGGTCAAACTTAGGTTATGCAAAATGCGTTGCCCTGGTAAATGGAAGCATTGACTAAAACCTGTGGTCCATATTCTGGTGGCTTAATCTTGACCCATACCCTTCTCGGAAAGGGAAGGGAATTGATGGGAGGGCAGATACATGTTGCAACCATTTGAAACATGGTTTTTTCCCACTAAAATAAAGGGACACCATTTACAAGGCAATGTTCAGGTGTTTAGTGTAAGGATCCCTGTTGATGAGTTCGGCCTCTTGTTGCAGGCCCCTGGGCCTCATGGGGGGGCCTCCTAAGATGGTGGTTTGGATAAGTTATTTTGGGATTTGATTGGCGGTTTGGATTGGTTAACTGTAATTTAATTGCTGGGATTGGTGATTTGGAGATGTGAACCCCTGTTTATTGTAGAGGGTAAATGGGACAACCACCCGCTAACCACCAATCCACCCATTCAAACATTGGGGTTGGAAAGGGGTCAATCATTAGTGCTGGGTGCAGGGCTCCCCGGCTTTTGTGGAGGGCGCGCTTCTGCGCAGAAGCGCGTGCCACAACGGCGCTCGCGAGCCTAGATGGAGTCCCGTTTACTTGTGGTGATGCTGAGGCTGGCAATCATTTAGTCCACAATCCCCTGACATCTCCATTTTCAACGGAACACAGTTTGTAGACCAAAACTGCGGTGATGCTGAGCGTGTTGACCAATTTAATCTATAAACAATGTGTCCGACATCTGCGTTTTAGTCTGTGGCACGTGAGGAAAGCCCCGCTTCAGCCTGGAACAGCTGCGATCCGTGCGGGGAAAGGAGGACATGGGAAAGCGCCTGCTGGGCAACTTGGCCAAGGATATTTTGCGGACCCAGGATTACTAAACCCCTGTTTGATTTTGATTCCCGGGTTGTCCCATTTGAGAGGGGGATCCGGATCACTTTTCCTTTGGAAGCTCTGATGAATCCGGAGTCGATATTACGATGCAAGTCTTCAGTTCGGAGTGATGCAAAAAGTAGGCTCGGCAGGTTTCCATGTGGGTCGGTGGGTATGGCTTTATTGGGAGCCCATTTTTGGCGAGCTCACGACTCAGGTGCTCGTCATAATGATTTTCAGGTTTTGGACATAGCAAAGAAAGCTAAGTCGGACTTTCCCAAGGCGGACCTTTCGACCTTTGACTTCCCGTTTTGGGATCATAGTCATGGCAGGTTACCCTGAAACATTTTTTTCCGGGCCCCCTAAACGGGGCACTGAGTGCAGACAGGTCAGCCGGACAAGTTCTTGGCAGAGTTGGGCCTTGGCTTTGACCTCGCCCACCTGGTCTTCCAGCGCCAGCGCGGGCTTGCGGGCGGCGCTTTTGAGGGGTTCCGGCCAATTGACGTGGAGTCTTGGCAGGTTCGATGGAAGCTGGTCGGAAGGGGGCCCAAGCTGGGGGTATCCAAAACTTGCCTTTAATGAGGGAGCTAAGGAGCCAGGAGTTGTGTAAGGACAAGGTAGTTTAGATTCAAATCTGGGGTCTCTTACTTGGCCAGTGTTTGCTTGAGCACGGGGCACTAGAAAGAGTACTGTTCTCTTTCAACTCCACTCTGTTTTCCCATCGCATGCGCGCAAAAGGATTGAACACACTCAAAAAGCTGTTGAAAACGCAGAAGCAGGGGTCCTTTCGCCCACCACACGCCTATTTGTGGTATTCAAAGTTACTACTTCGAGGATCCGCATCGAGTTTCATTTCCCATCTTGTTTCATTCCCTGAGGTGGGTTCTTTTTTTTTGCTTTTGGGAAGACCAGTTTAGTGGTAAAATATAATGCAAACAATAATGCAAAGGTCCCCAATCTTTTGGCAAGGCTATTTTATTGGAAGATCAACCGTTCAGACGGTTTTTGGCCAATCAACCGAATGTGTAGCCGTGCGCTGGATTCGTTGTTTGTTTTTTGTTTGTTTGCTTGTTTGTTTGCTGTGTTTCTTTGTTTGCTGTGTTTCTTTGTTGGTTGGTTGGTTGGTTGGTTGGTTGGTTGGTTGGTTGGTTGGTTGGTTGGTTGGTTGGTTGGTTGGTTGGTTGGTTGGTTGGTTGGTTTCTTTGTGTGTTGAGTTGGTCCACTCAAGTGAGTCTAGTCGTCGGTTTTTCAGTGAAGTGCGTCGGATCTCAGGAGGTGGTGGCCCCGGAGCTCGAGCAGCCGGTGCAGGCCATCCGCTCGGAGCTCATCGACCGCTACGTGGGGCTCAAAGGCCCATGGGCCGCCGGTCGCTGGTGTCGCGCGTTGTTCGCGGCGCTGGGGTTTTCGGTTTTCGTGCGTTCCGTTGGTTTTCTAGGGTTTTCTTGTGTTCCTTTGGTTTTCGTGTGTTCCTTTCATGTTCCGAAATGAAAGGCCAGGCATGTAGGACTCCTGGGCCGGCATGCCTTTTGCTTCCCCTTTTCCTCACTCCCTGAGTTGGACTTTTGTCACTTGTTGCGAAGACCATTGGCAAAGAACCAGTTTGGACTTCTTGTTTTTGGCCAGTCCAGTCCGGAATTGAGTTCTGGCCATGTGGGCCAGGAAGGACCTTGAAATTTTGGTATGTTGGGTGGTTCCTTTTTGGGATGCCCGTTTGGCGAGTTGTCAGAGGGAAAGAAAGAGGAAACACACCGTTTGTTGAGGTCCTTAATTTTAGAACACACCTGGTGCCGAAAAGAAACCCAGAGGATTTTAGGAAGCAGCCAGAATTGACTCAGATTGAGTCTCGGGGCGGGTCTGCCACCGTCAAGTCCAACCACCGGCAACCTGGTAATATTCACTGCCCGTGTTGTTTGGTCATTTGATGGCTAGTTTGGGGGTAAACACGAGCTCATCATGAAGCTTCCTTACCTGTGGCTTGGGGAGTCTGACGATTGCTCGAGGCAGCGTGGTGCGCGCAGCCAACATCGCCCCCCTGATCACAGAGCCACGTGCCTGAGGGCTGTCGAGAAAGGATGCGTTTGTGTGGGTGTCAAGAAGGCAGGTTCAGGGGTCAGCAAAGCAACTGCAGGGGCAACAACAGCAACCAAGGGGTCTTTCCCTGTTCGCTTTTCTTGGCAGTCGAAGCCTACGCATTTGTTTTTAGCTGTTTGCGTCCTTTGCTTTCGGGACGTGTTTGGTTGGTTGGGTGCAAGAAGAAAAGTTGCCGGCTGGCATGTCAGTAGCTGGGCAGATGAACGCTTGCTCACCCCTTTGAGTCATTTTGAGTCTAGGAAGAGTGTACTCAACAGGAGCGCACCCGGACATGCATGTACCAGGGAGGTGGAGGAGAAGGCTCATCGAAACAGCTTGTTAACCAACTTGAGCCAACATAAAACTAGCCTCAGTAGAGATGGTCATACTTGTTGCGCACAAATACTAAACGCGACACTAATGAAACCAACAGACTGGAGGCAGCGACACATACGGACGGCTACGCGCTTCGGCGCCACCTAGGAAGCCTTGACAATACCAAGCTGCGTGGCGTTCCCATTCAGATGTTGCGGCCGAGAATCGCCTGAGACCCCCCGCACCACCCCACGAATTGACAAGTTGCGTGGCCAGGGGAACTCTGCCATCCATACAAACTGCACCACTGAACCCAGAAAGCCATCTTGGAGGAACCTCCTTTTTTGGGAGTCCCGTTTTGCGTTCCATTGTAAGATGCAGAGGAGCGCACGCATGCTCAATCAGTGCTTTGGTGTGGGGGTTTGGCCAAACGGTCATCCAAATGCCAAACACGTGCCAAACACGTGTCCCCCTGAACTTCTTGAATGACCGCGGTTCCTGAAGTCTTGCGAGGCTGAGCTTCACCTGCTCCCGGTGCTCCTCAGAGGTGGCTGTGGGTCAAAATCAATGGGATCCCATCTTGGTTGGTAGGGTAGGTGAATTCACCACCCATTTTGGTCTATTTTAGTGGGATTGGGCTGTTCACTGGGGGTACGGTTCGGATTTTGACCCATGGCCAGGTCACGGTGAAGGCGGCGGAGGGGCGCTTCGAGTACCCCGCCGGCTGCCCCAAGAAGTGCCGCTTCGCGCGCTTCGCCGTGAACCGGGACAAGTGCCAGGCGCCGCGGGGGAGGAAAAAAGCCGCCCCGGGGTGGTCGAAAATCCACGTGGAAACCGAGCAATGAGAAGGGGCTGGCGCCCCTTGTGTGCTTGCCAAATCTTTGCTTCTTAGAACATTTGTAGAAAGTTGTTGCAGTTTGATCACTTTTCATGAAGGAATGGTAAATCCTGCGGCCATAATAGGGCATCCCTTGGCAAGAATTATTCGCGACAGCTTTGGTACAGAATAAAATGGTTGCTTTGTTCGGGTTTTGGATTTTCTGTGGTTGGGGCCGTTAAAACGGTTTTGGTTGGCAGTTGTCTGGAAAAGGGGGGCTTTGTTCACGTTACCCAGATGCCAAGGATAGAAATCCCTGCGGTGGGGACTCTAACCCTGGCAGGAAACGGCGTGTTTTAGGTGTGGCTTGGGCGGGCATGCTGTGTTTTTTTTTTTTAAGGACCCCCCTCCCCCGCCCTTTGAATGACAAGTGCCAGGCGGGGAACGGCATAGGCTGTCTCCAAATAGGGGGCCCCTGACATAGGTTGGTGTGCTTTTAAAATACCAACCACAAGAGGGGTCCTTGTTGTTTCCCTTCAAGAAAAACCCAAAAGTGACACCCCCTCGGCTTCTTTGTGCTATACTTATGAGAAAGATGTCTACCCACCCTCCCAGTGACATGTACCCGGCACCGAGTGCCGTCAAGAGGAAACCTCACCTGCCCAGCCCAAGCTGTTGGCCTCGCCGTGTTTCAATGTTGGCAGCGTGCTTTAACCTGTGCTAATAGCCTAGAATGATCAAGAGCTGACCTAATATTTAACGATTTCAACAATTTTTGAAGGTCTATTGAAGTTCGGGAGTTGAAACCCGGAGGTTGAAGTAACAAGAGAGAAAGATCGAGAGGGAGATAAAAGGACAACAGGTGAACCTGCGACCGCTCCTGACATCATCATGCATTCTCAGGCTCACTAAGTGTGTCACAGTTTTCGAGCCGGACAGCGGCAGAACTGGCGGGTGAAAGCGCTTCAGCGAAAACAGCTCGAATCACCCAGGCAGGAGTGATTATATACCACGGGCAGTGCTGCCTTGCAAGCTCGCCTTGGTGGCATAGAAGCCTTCACACCACCGCCAGGCCATTGACTGGCAGCGGATTCGCCTGCAGGACTGGTGCTTGGGTACCTTTTTTCAAAGCCGTGCCCAAAGGGAGCCGATCGGATCTCACTTGTTTTTTTGTTTTTGCGCAATTTCGACATTTGTGATGGTCGGTCCCCAAGGCCATCCCTTTTGTTGCCAGGTCCCTTGGGCAAGTGAGAATGGTTTCATATGGCCCCCTGTTGGGTAAAACCCCTTCCAGCACAAGGCAGCTTGTTTAGGGCACATGGTTCGAAATCACACCCGGGATCATACCCCCAAGTCAATTCAGGCCACCTTGCTTTGACACCCATGGTCACCGTGGTCACCACTGTCCCGGGGTAAGTTGTTTGGTTGGACCCCTTGCCAGGTCCTTTCACAAAAGAACTGCCAACTCCCCCGCCAAGTGTCCACCATGTTGCCCCAAGAGTTCAGCATGTCACTAGCTGAGCATTCTGAAGTATGAATGGGTGTTGGATTTGTGCATGATGAAGACACCACTTCTCCTGGTGGTTCCCAGCGGTTTGAGGGTTTAGTGGGGTTTTCCATTCAACCCACAAAAAGTTAAACTTTTGAGGACAGCCCAGTTTTATGTGTAACGGGTCTACACTGGCTTGCAAACTTGCTTTGGTTGCCGAGCCTCCGAAACCCATATGGGCCACACCAGTGTGGTCCAGGGCATATTATCAGCCATTGGTTTCCACTACACCCAAGCCTTCTATCTTTACCTGTGAGGGTAAAGATAGACTAGGTTGCCCTTTTACCCTTTTTTCCGGGAGGGTTCCCCTGACAGAAAAAGGGTACCCTTAATCTAACCTCCTCACTGGAGGACCTAGTAGAAGATTGGGGGTGGCTTGGGTGGCTTGGGCGAAAAATCGCTTCGACGCCAGGAGGATTTCTCGGAGCTCGCGGGCGGTGCCACCGCCGGGGCGCGGCGGGTGCCGCGCACCGTGGACTGCGACCTGAAGCGGTCCCTGGCGCCTTGCCTGCGCTGGGATCCGTTGAGGGGCGGTTTGGAGAGAAGCCAAACGGAAGATACCCTCAGACTAACATGGATTTTTTCCTTTGAAAGACTTCCCATTTACAGGGCGTCCTGGGAGCTTCCAAGTTAGCCTCAGGGAGTCTAGGAGATGCAGATGGCCCATATAGCTGTGTCTGTTGTCGGGGAACCCCCCAAAATGCGCCAATTTTGTGATTTTCCTTTTGGTTGTCCTTGACAACCACCAAGCAGAGTTCGTTCTCAAAAACAGACGTACATATTTTTGTGGGGGAGGGGGTTCCCTCAAGAGGTTCCGATCCCCAAGTTACCTGTCAGACACCAACCCAGTTGTTTCAGGGGTGTCCCTTTTCCCTCTCTGGTTAAAGGTTTCCCACTAAAACACACAACCCCTTGGCATGTCTTCATTTCTACCTGAATGTTTTTTGGCTATGGTCGCTGGGCATGTGGACCTTGGTCAATCCTGATCTAGCGCAAAACCAGCAAGGGACCATGGGACACATACCACTGGTGGCCTGTCTCCTTATTATATTTTCCGGATGTAACTTCACATTGTAAAGTTATTACAAGGTACTCGTGCCCACTTTCACCCCAATTACACATCACTTGTGGGCCAGGGCCCAAAGCAGATTTCTGTAGTAAACCGGTTTCCCTGAAGGGATTCTCGTGTTCTGCTGTTAGACCATGTCAGACCAACACCTCACCCCTCCTTTCGCTGAAGGTTAGGCTCACTTCCTGAGTCCCTGGAAGCACTCGGAAAGACGATTTGTAGACTGGCTGAGTGGCAAACAAGTTTGGACTAAGAGCGCATCCACTCAAGAGGTGATACACCTCTTGTCCACCCCCCTGAAGGTTCTCAGTTGTCCAAAGCGAATCGACCTTTTGACCTTTTGGTTCTTTCCCGTTTTGGCAACCATACCATTTTTGCTGGTCAACCGAAATGGATGAGGCCAAGTTCCAAGAAAAGAAACATTACATTTTTAGCCATGGCCCCAAAAGGTGATTACTTCGTACGACCTCGAATTTCTGGGTTCGTCGGGCTGCCTCGGGTTGGGGGGGGGGGGGGGAACTCGGACTCGTGGGGCGCGACAACGCGGCCGATCGGAGGTTGGCGCATGCGTGCCGGGCGATGCGGTCACGGTGTACGGGGTGATCCGGTGCATGCCCACGAGCGGGGGGATGTCTGCCGGGGAGCGGCAGGCGCCCAGCAGGTCTTTGTATATCCTCTTTCTGGAGGCCCGGAGTAGCCAAAACCGCGACTCACTTCCGGGGTTCCTGGAGGCTGTGGCTCAAAAAACCGGTACCCAAAATGGAACCCTTGTAAGTGGAAACATGGACCAACACCTGCGTAACCCCCCCTGTTTAATTTTGAGCCACACCCTGGACTTCAACCTTTTTGGAAGGAACATATTGGGGGCAAATGCAAAGTTTGCACTTCTTTGGCCGATCAATTCAGGAAGTGAGGCTAAACCCAGAGGCATAGGTGTCTTATGTACTTTGTGGGGCGGGGGGGGGGAGGCGGATGGCTTTTGGGTCGCGAGGGGAAGGTGAGTACGGTCTGCTCTGAAACAACCACACCAAGGCCCCCTCCAAAGGAAGAAACCAAAGGAGGTCGTTCAAGCAATTGTGGTTCACGCATGGGAAAAGACTAAGACTAGCCGCCGTAACATCAAGCCCCTCAAAGTTCAATGGTTGTTTCTGGCTTTGTGAAAAAGGTTTCGGTTTGTTTGGCCATGCTTAAGCATTGTTGAACTTGCTATGGTTGCCAGGGGCCTCCCAAAGTCCCCCACCCCCCTCAATCCCAATAGGGACTTTTTTCGACTACGGCCGATTAGGGGCTGCTAGGGTTCCTTTCGGTTGGTTTTTGTAGCGCAGCCTTCCGTGGGAGCCCTGACCGCCCTGAAAACACACAACATGCTTTAACAGGGGCCGAGGGCCCAATCCTGCGCAGACTTGCGACAAACCCCTTGCAGGTGAAGGCAGTGGTGAACAACCGCGAGACCTCTCTCCAAGGCAGGTGGGTTGCGATTCAGTGCTTGTTGAAAAATGCTTCGAGCAACATGAGCAAAGCAACTTGATTGATCAATTCGTACAAAGAACTTTAGTGTAAGCACGCTTTGTTTAAGCAACTTGTGGTAAAGTAAATTGCGTGGAAACAGTTTTTGTTCAAGCAACAGTTGGTGTTCGTTCAACCAAACTTTGGTTGAAAAAGCGCATTTGTTTCAACAACCTCCCTTCGGCTTCCGGTTCAATGATTCAAAGGGGGGCGGGGGTTGGTGGTTTGTGGTTCAAGCATTTCGGTTGCCCAACCCTGCCTTGGACTAAGGCAACGAGGAGGATTTCTCGCAACTGCAGCTGTCCTTTGTCCGAGAGATCTACAAAGAGGGCGTCGCTTGACGGGTCACTCCACGGCTTTTGCATGGAGGGCACCCTTCTTAGCTTGGTCTGAAGGCAAAACAAAAGGGTCACCGACCATTGTATTTAGCCCTCATGTGAGACATACGTTGTGGGCCCTTTGAAGTTGTACTTCTTCTCTGGGAGGTCCCTTTAAACCAACTTCTGGAAGGTGATTTTCAGGATGACACTTGAATGGCCCCAGCCGCTTGATCTTGCAGGGGAGGAAGGAACGGCCGTTCAAAACAATCTTAGGTCTTAGGTCGGTTTCGTCCCTCGTGTGACAGATGCAGAAACACTTTTCCCAACAATGATCCACGTGGATGGTTCGTGTTTAACGCATTTTCTGTTTAGCTTGTTGGCTTGTTGGCTTGTTGGCTCGTTTGGACGTTAATTAGTCGTGCTTTCAGAGGCTGGGGCTTCGGTTGCTTCCTCGTGGCTTGCTCCCAACCAGTCAAGTTACGAGAATTATTCTTGAACTTACCCAAAGGGTGGTGCTGCACATGTGTTTGGACCCGCCCGTGCGAAGCCTGGCCCAGTTGAGGAGAAACTGCCGGTCTTGGTGGCCTCCTTCTGCCAGCACATCTATGGCCAACACCTGGTGAAGGCGGCGCTATTGCTGGCGGTCCTTGGAGGATCCTTTGCTCAACACCTAGCTCCAACCCGCGGGGTGCTCATATGAGAGTTCAACATTCAGTTCGCCGCATGACCAAGGATAACTGTTCCCTTGTGGGAAAGCCTTTTTCTTTTTCTTTTTCTTTTTCTTTTTGCGTCACACTTAGGTCAACGTCTACATGCCCCCTTTTTGAGTAGTGCAAACATGACCTTTTGTAAGCCTTTCTAAGTCGAGTTTCCTTTCGTTGGATGCCATTCTTCTTGGCCTGCTTTTGGGGGGGGGCTCTGGTTTTATTGGAGGTCCCCAGCCATACTCTAAGACCACGGTTCTCAGCTTGTGACATATCCCGCTCAAACAACCTCCGGTGACGCTTGTGAAACAATCTCGAACATGTCCATTTGTAGCAGGGGATCACTCATCTCCACTTGCCCAGGGGTGCCCTTTTTTCCCATGGCCACTGGGCATCTCAGCATCCTTGGCCCCTTGGGTCCCCCTCCCGGCCCCGTGCCTTGAGGACAGCCCATCCACTCGGAGGGCGCCGAGCGAAAGCTGCGGCGCCGGGGGGACGTGCACGTGCTGCTGCTGGGGGATCCGGGCCTGGGCGCCTTGCCATGGCGCCAACTTGGCGTTATTTTGTTTTGTTTTTGTTTTTTTTGGGGGGGGGTCCGTTGCCACTATTTTGTTTATTAGGTTTTTGGCTGCAACAAAAGCGGTCATTCTTACGATGCTAAGGGTTAGTTGTTGCTTGGTCCTGTTCATGTTTGGCAAGGGGCTGCAAGAATGTAGTTTTTTGCTACCATGCTGAGGTCCTTGGTTTGGATTGCACTGTAAACCCGTATGTTGAGTGGAATCCTTTTCTGGGTTCCTGAGTTGGGGTTCTTGCGGTAATTAAGGGACCAGCCAAAGGCCCCGCAAGCCACTCCGGAACCGATGGTATGCAGACTTAGCCAATCCGGAGGGGGGAGTGTGGGGCGGGCCGAAGTGAGGCTCCGTGTTAGAAGATACTCTGTGCGCTCAATTGCACCTGCTGGAGTGTTTCCCCTTTCTGGGAATATATTGCCAGATGAAGACAAGTTTGTCTCATGCCCCCGGGGGGTGACTGAACCACCCTGGAGTTGCGCCGTTTGAGCGGAAGCCAGTTCCCGGCAAGCTCCAGGAAGGAATTTTGACCCATGCTGCCTGCTAGTTGTTCAATGGCACCCTCCAAGCATGTTTCCATTGGCATGTCAAGGGCGAAAAAGGTTGCCTTGCCTACCACTCGGCTTTTTAGGTGCCGAGGGAAACCAATTTGGAGGCAGACCCAACATTTGCCTTGCTGAGCAATCCACTCAGGCAAGAGCGAGCTGCTGCGGGCATTGGCGCGCCTGAGCCCGCGAGGAATCGGTTGGAGGGGTGCCTCATGGAACTCGAAGGGCTGCTTGCCACACAGCTCCGGGGTAGGCGTCCCTGATTTGCGCATGGCCCGCATGCTCTCAAACATGTATCTAGACCTGTGTCAACTTTTGAGCATGTGTTTGGATGGACCCGAATCTGACTTGGCATCCTGAACCCCAGCTAGTGAAGGGCAAATTGACCTGAAGCAAGGGCCATATGTGTGTTGCTCAATGGTTGGCCTGCAGCAGCAAGCCTAAACAAGCTCAGACAAATCCCGTCCCCCCTCAACCTCCACCCTGTCTTCATGTGTCATGTTTACCTCAAGAAGCAAACGTCAAGGCAACTTTGACCCTTGTCGACCCCCTACCTCCCGGTGGTTTTGCGAGTCGCGCCCTCGCAGCCTCGTAGGCGTCTACGTGTCGGGGAACTCCTCCTCCACGGCGGGGCTTACGGCCTCGGTGGTGCGGGACCCCTCGGGGGAGTTCGCCTTGGAAGCTGGGGCCCTGCGCCTTGGATGGGCTTTGGTGGGGCGGGGGGGTTGGCGAAGGTGGGGGGGTGGGGTTCGTGAGTTCGGCTGGTTGGTTGAACGGGGCGCCGTGTTTGAGAGGGGATCCATCCTTCACGTTTTGGTGGGAAACACACCCCGATTTCTATCCACCTTGGTGGATAGGACACCTGTGAATCCAGGATCAAGATGAAGAGTTTGTGATTGCTAGGCATTAGCTCCAGCTGTGACCTTTCAGTCGGGTGAGGCTCAAGGTGCTTTCTCGGCCAAGCCCGACTTCTTCACTCACTCGCGTGCCGCCAGAAGTCCCGGGCGGCCATTGTCGTAGATGATTCCACCTGGTTTCATGCAGCTTAATATGACACCTTCCCTCTTTTGGTAGGGCCAAAGGTCAAGAGGTGACACAGACGCTGCTAATGAAGATGAGTGGCCGACGCGTCCGGCGCCAACGAGGATCCTGGCAGACAACGGCCTGTGCTGCGTGGACGAGTTCGACAAGATGGGCTCGGATCAACAGAGTCTGCTGGAGGCCGGGTGGATCCAAAACCACGGACCGAGTGGCCGGCATGTCCGTTTCCCTACGTGGGTATGGGTCAAAATTAAACCACCAGGGGACCGCAGGTTTTGGTCCACGTTTCCATTTACCAGGATTCCACGTTGGGTACATATGTTTGACCCACACCCGGCCAAGTTCCTCCAAGCTCACGGGTCAAAACGAGCTCAGCCATGTTGCAGGTCCCTTGCCTGGGGTTTCTCCTTACTTCCGGGTGAGCTATTGCCCAGATGGATGCGAAAGGGTGCAGCGCGGTTTCCGGAAGGCCATGGAGCAGCAGACGGTGTCCATTGCCAAGGCGAGGCACCGATGCACGGGGCGTGGAATGCCGACAGCAGCAGGGGATCAGAGGGTCCCGCTGGACGAAAGGAAGCCCCACAAAACAGGAAAGGGAGGAAATGACAAGCCCTGGCGAGAAGCCCGGCGGTTGTGAGTCAGATCAGGGGGTTTGCGGGGAGAAATGCCAACATTCGGGTTGGTAATGATAGGGTTTTTGCTGGAAAGGAACTCCCACAAGACAGGAAGCCGTAAAAAAGGGGGTGGGGCAGTTAAATTAGTGGTTGACATTATGTGTCAAATTAAACCCGGGCGTGGAACCCTAGGCATAGATCCTTTTGTTGGAGGCACCGGTTGGTAGGTGGCCTACCCCAGTAGTCCTAGGGCCATTCCAACTCGCGCAGGATTTCGTCCATCCAGAGTCTTGTAGCGAAAGAAAACGAGGTTGACGCAACAGATGTTTCACTTGGGTCTTCCGCCTTTTTTGGGCAAGACCCTACACCCTCGAATCGCGCCCTTGGGAAAAGACCCCGAAGAGTGTGAAAGCAGCAGTTGTTTGGGCTATTTGTCTATCTAGCGGCCGAGTGTCCCACGGTGTAATGCACTATCCTAGAAGCATTTGTAAATGGTTGGGGCTGCAACTTTCAGCCAATCGCTTAGAATCAAGTAGTTGAGTTGCCAACTCACCGCACGGAAAACAAACAAAACAATGGAACCGTCCCTTTTAAGCTAGGCCCAAAAAGCTTCCATGGGTCATTTTGAGGAACTTATTTGTGTGCTTTGTTTTGAAAGAAGCCAAAGTGAAATGCGGGGTTCCCCCCCACCTCCTGGGAGAGCTTTTGGTGCTTTGCTCCAACGCGGCATCCTCGAAAATTGTAGGGAAGGACTTGGGCCGCCCTCCCCCCCAGCAAAAAATCAGAAAACAGTTTTGAGAACAACATTTTCTGAGCAACTTTCCGGGTTGGACTAGGCGTTCGCCTTCCGTCGACTAAAAATGGAGGCGGGCATCGTGTGCACGCTTCCGGCGCGCACCACGGTGGTCACGGCGGCGAATCCCGCGAAGGGGAGTTGGGACATGAGCCTCACGCTGGCGCAGAACCTGAAAGGCGGAAACCGGAGGGCGTGGTTCGTCGGGACCGTCCCTGGGTTTTGTTTGGGTGGTGAAGTGGTGCCATTTGTTTTTTTGGTTTGGGAGTTCCGACTCCCTCAACTAAAAATATTGCCTGGGTTTTACTTGGGTGTGACGTGGTGCCATTTTTGTTGGTTTGGGAGTTGGTACCCCTCAACCAAAAAGAATACCTGGGTTTTGTTTGGGTGACGTGGTGCCATTTTCTTTCTGGTTTGGGAGTTGGTACCCCTCAACCAAAAAGAATGCCTAGGATTTGTTTGGGTGACGTGGTGCCATTTTTTTTGAGTTTGAGAGTTGGTACCCCTCAACTAAAACAAATGCCTGGGTTTTGTTTGTGTGGTGACGTGGTGCCATCTGTTTTTTTTGGTTTGGGAGTTGGTACCCCCTCAACTAAAAATAATGCCGGGGTTTTATTTGGGTGTGACGTGGTGTTTTTTTTTGGTTTGGGAGTTGGTACCCCTCAACTAAAAAGAATGCCTGGGTTTGAGTGACGTGGTGCCATTTGGGTTTTGGGTTTGGGAGTTGGTACCCCTCAACTAAAATGAATGCCTAGGTTTTGTTTGGGTGACGTGGTGCCATTTTTTGTTGTTTGGAGTTGGTACCCCTTTAGCTAAAAAGAATGCCTGGGTTTTGTTTGGGTGTGGTGGGCCTTTTTTCTTGTTCTGAGTTGGTACACCCTGAAAACTAAAAGGAATGCCAGAAGGAGCTTCAGGAAGTTAAAGCCATTTTAGGGGAGCCCAAAAAAGACACGCCCGTATTTCCCTTAGCTGTTGGCCCATATTTCCTCAGCTGTTGAGCATTGTTTAAAAGTGATTTTGCTGTGGTCGGGGTAATGTTTGAAGGACCTGAACAGACAGCGCGGCCTTGACTCTCATTCAGAGGTGGCTCGCAAGGAACGTCATGGCAGCCTAATGGTGACGAATGTTCGGCAGTGATTCGGAAAACAAGAACAGCCCCTCCCTCAAACAAGTTGGGGAGCGGTCAACAGGGCAAAACCTAAAAATCATCAGGGTGTCAGAGTGGGGTTTGCTCAAGCATATAGTCTCCCAATAAGTACCGCTCAAAATTTGTTTAGTATTCCTAGCGGCAGGCCCGGTACCTTGGCGAATTGCTTTAGTGTTCCAGCTTGCTGGCTCAGCAATCTTTTGAATTGACTTAGTATCGTTGTTCCAGTTCTCCTTGGCACTGGGCCAAGTATGTGTGTCTCTATCCTTCAGCATACATCATTATTCAGTTTCCCTGCACCAACCCTTGAACATCAGGTTGCTGCTGGGAGGCTGGTTTAGCAATGATTGGTATTTGTGTGGTATTAGTTAGTGTTGGTCTAGTATTGGTCTAGTATTTGTTTAGTATTTTTCTAGCATTGCCAGGGCTTGGCAGCCATAGATTTTCCCACCAGACCTCGAATGACCAACGTTGGAACGCAGAATGGAGTGTTGTGTCGATCAAAGGATCCTAACTCCTCCTCTTCCCCCTGCCTGAGAAGGCCCGAATAAGTGTTTTTTTGGAGAAGGCAGTGGGCAGTTTAGGGAAGGGGGGATTGGAATCCTATGATTTGTCAGGGTCCCTCAATACATGTGCGCAGTCGAGCAATTACGCAAAGATCGATTTAGATCATTCCCTTCGAACCTTTTTCCCGCCAGGGATTCTCTTCAACATCAACTATACAATAAAATGTGCCCTTTCTTGCCATGGCCACTGGAGTTTTGGGTCCCTCACCAACAGCCCCAGGCGTGATGTCCGAAGCCTTGCTGAGCCGCTTCGACGTGATTTTCCTGATGCGGAGCGAGGAGGATGCCAACCAGAACTCGGAGACCCGGCCAAGCAGTTGCTCTGTTGCCCGGTGGTGCCCTTTTTTTAGTTTGTTTTGGTAAGGGTTCCGATTCCTTTAAACTCAACCAACAAAAAAAAGGTGCCTTTTTTTCCCATGGCCACTGGGCATCTGAGAAGTTGATACTCTAGGAGCCCCTGCCCTAATATGCGTTGCTTCTTTGTTTTAGGGTACCCTTCCAAAATGCAGGCATGGAGATTCCTGTAGACGGCTCAGTCAACAATCCATGGGTGAAACGAGCTCATCATGGTAGAACTTGCAGGTTGCGCCTGAAACAGGACCCTTGCTGCAGGATAAATTAGCTTGCAGGGGGTCCCAGTCAGGTTGCACGTCTATTTTTGGGAGGGCTCCTTTCTTTTGAAGCACTTTGAACAAACGCTTGTGTGTCTTGCTTGTTTGGGTGTTATGTCCTTTGTGTTGGGGTACGGATCCATTTGAACGAATGTTACCCTAAGGGGTTGATTGTGCCTCAGGTTTGACACCCAAAGGCACGCTCCGTGCAAGTCACCGTGTATTGACCTCACACAATGGATATGGCTTGAGACCTGCCAATGATGAGGGTTCCTTTCATAAAACAAGATGAAACACCTTGCACCTCTCAGTGAATTAGCACAACTCACCCACAACAATGACACAGCACATGAAACGACACTGGATCGTTTCTGGGGGCCCCCTTCTCCAGTAGGCATCAAGTAAGCTCGCCGATGTAAAGTTCGCTGGGCTTGGGAGTCCTTATTAACTTTCCGCCCATCGACAGAGGATTTGTAGGGTAAGATCAATTTCCTCGAGTTGGACCCGCTGTCAGGTGCATCATGTCCTATGCTTATTTGTCCACTATTTGATAACGGATCCTTGGACTTGAACTGTTTGGTTGAAACCGTTTTGATCCCACGAAAATCTGGACATTTTTTTGCAGAGGGTCAGACCGACGTTCAACAGCAGACACCCAGTTACGGTATGTAGCTCTTCTTCCAGCACCTTGACAGGCACATCTTGGCGCCTCTTCGAGGCCCAGATGTTAGGGAGGGTACCTTTGGAATTCTCCTTGGCACGGTGAGGCCATGAGTCGGCATATCATCAACCAGCGCATGCACAACACCGCACGCCCGGAGGCTGGGGCTTGCTCGATCCAGGGGCCCCCCTGGAACAAGGTTCCCTGCACTTGGCCCTTGGATTGGCCCTTGGATTTTTCTTGTGTGTTGGTTCAGCTCATGGGCTATTCTATTTGTTTGTTTTGGTTTACCGCCCGCCAATTTGATGCCCAAGTTGCTCATGTTTGGCTGCGAGGAAAGGCTAACATGCCGATGTTTATCGGCTTAGGGAAGCTCTGGAGGGTGGGAAGGGGGGCTGGGCATTGCAGGACACCACACTCCAGGGAATGAAATGGAAAATGGTTTGTTGCGTCGGTCCGCGACCCCCTGTAGATTGACATGGAGCCCCAAAAACAAAAGTTTTTCGGTAATCTGCTATTAAGGGACTCCCCTAGGCAAGGACCCCCTCTCGTGGGCTTCCTTGTGAGGCGTCGGTCTTGTAGAACATAGATGGCGATTCTTGGTTGACCTGGTTGCTTCGTAGTCTACCAGGGCCATCCGTTTTGCCAAAGGAGAGAGTTCCAGCGGTTCAGCACTCTATGTGCATGTCTTACGATAGCATCAACCCCGCTTCCTTTCGGTAGGGTGAGTGAGCTTTATCAAGCACCTAACCCGTTTTGTCGCATCGATGTTCAAGTGCATTTTTCGATCCATGGGGTTAGAATCATCAAGTCCCACCCCGCACCGGGTTTTTCTTGGTGCAGATTGAGGGTACCTCACGGGTGTTGGAACGCTCGACTGCAGGGAGAGGTCCCGAACGTGGGAGAAGACTGGGCGAACACCGCAGATCTGGAGTCTTGCAGGGACGGCTTGAAGAGCAGGTTGCTCAAGGTGGGCAAGCGGAGTTTCAGACTGGGTTCAAAACAATACGCGTCATCCTTATGCCAGACGTTGCCAGGCGGCAGTGGTTTCCCTTCTTTGTCGCCTGCCCCTTAGGATGAAGGATTAGGATTAGTGCTTTTCAGAAGCTTAGTTTTCATTGGCACCCTTTCCCTTGGAGGATGGGTTCGGGAACCAAAACGCAATCAACCCCACCATCGTCAAGCAAAAAGCAGTTTGGTTTCCCTTCAAAAGAGGGCCAGCCTGGTTAAAGAGGGCCAGCCTGGTTGTTGAAACGGTTTTCGTCCCCATGGCTTCCATTTGCTGCTGGGTGGCGACTTTGGACACTGCATAAAAAAAAAAAAAAAACTCACTGAGAGGAATCACCTACTATTCTTACAATCGGGGGCATTAGATTTGCCTTTAGATGACCAACATTGGCTGCTGATATTTCAATGAGTCTCTCTGATTTTCTATTGAGTTGATGTTTCTTCAGGGAAAGCGCAAGGAACCTCGAAGCCAAAGGTTGTGGCTGGAAGGCAACGAAGGGTGCCTCCGATTGCATGTCCTTGTCCGCTTTTCCCATTTTTTTTTATGGGCTCGTGATTTTAGACCTGGCCCGGAGATTTGATCAGCGGTTTCATATGTGGGTTGGTTGGACAAGTCGGAAGTCAACCAAGCCTTGGCCTAAGGGGAGCCAAAAGGAAGTTGTTTAGACAATCCGTGTATAAACAGGTTTGAGCCGGAAGGGCCTGTTTGCTTGTAAAACGGAGCTATGATGAAGTTCCCATACCTGGGGGTTCCTTTTTGCGGTTTGTGAATTGCATGCGTCTTTCCAGGTCACATGGTCCATCCAACACAAGCATCGAAATCCCACGCTGTTTTGGTGTTTTGTTGTTATGAAACCAAAAGGACAACCACCATTTGGGTGGGTCCCCTAAGAACAGACATAAAAACAGACACCATAAAAAACATCCAACCACCATAAAAACATACACACCCACACGAAGGCGGCCAAGTAGCCCCGGGCGCAGGCGCCGGGCGAGGCTTTGCCTTTGGAGCTGCTGCAGACCTACCTGCGCTACGCCAAGCGCTACGCGCAGCCGAGCCTCAGCCCCCAGGCCAAGCGGAGGATCAAGGAGCCGGCGGATCCGTTTGGCCGTGGGGCAACACCAATGGGAATTCACCACCCATGTTAGAACCTACTTTTAGTGGGGATTGGTTGATGTTCACGGGGGGTACGGGGTTTTGACCCATAGCCATTTGGGCAGCGTTTTAGGGGTTGGAAGCCCCTGTGAAGCACTTAGAGGTTGTTGAGGATGGGGAGCCCCTGTAAACGACTAGGTCGCTTTTTCCTTAAGTTCTCGACTTTGATACTTTTTGGGAATACCATGGTAGTGGCACGCGCTAATTAAGTTGGGTCGGGTTTTAGGCTCATCCGCTCAGGAAGTGAGTGAAACTGATTGAACCACTATGGCCTGATGGTTGGGAGATGTTCCTTTTGGGCTGTCTCTAAGCTGGCTGAGGTCTGTTTGTTTCAACACATGTTGGCCAAGCCGGAGCCACGGGCCACGGCAGATCAGCAATCTGGAGTAGAATGGGAGTATGACAGAGGCACGGTTTCCGTCCAGCTTATTACTTTGTGTTGCTTCTTTGGTTGATGGGATTGGCCAATTCTCCAGTTTGAACCGCCCAGGCTTGTCCCACAACGGAAACCAGCCCTTAGGAAAAACCAAGGCGAGCCGCGCGCTGTTGAGCCATATTTGTTTCCGGCGACAAAAATCGGACTCATGTATGTCTGCCAGAAGGGTGCACAGAACCTTCCAACTCTACGACCCAGACCCGTAGAGGTGCCCTGTCTTGCTTTTTTGCCGGGGCTTGGAGCCTTCCTGCTAGATTCTGCTAGATGGTGGTGATTTCTGTAGTGGCTCCTCTCCGCTTCTGGAAAATCGGAAAATCGGAAGGTTCTCTCACGTTTGACGTGGGTTGCTCAGTGGACGCATTTGTCCTCGTTGGGTCACCCCAGAGGACTTCTACCTGGAGCGCCGCAAGACGGCAGCAGGATCGGCGCCTGGGCAAAAGGTGGCACGGGTGTTTGGCTGCAGATCCTTTTGGATGAGCATCTTTTGGTTCCCCAAAGTTTCTTGCTCTGAACTCACCACACGCCAGTTGCGTTTGGGTTTCCTTCATTGTTTTCCTGGCCAGCACCCAACTGCTCTTTCCCATGTCCCAAATCCCCTTAATGTTCTTCACTCCCTAAAAATCCTGGACTTTAGTCACTTTTTAAGAATGACCATTTTAGACGGTGAATAAACAGTTTGGACTGTTTTTGGCCAATCCACAGAAACCAAAAACCAGTGGCTACTTAAAGGGGCGCTCGGGTACCAACGGTAAGCGGTTCGTAACCCACGTACCATGGCCGCTGAAACCCCGGACCTCCGGTGCCCTTGACGTCAAAACCCGGATGGCATAGACCCCCAGCTCACTTCCTGAGCTCCCTGCAGAAAGACTTCCCCACTGGACGAAATCCATTTCGCACCACCTTTTTTAACCATGGTTGAAACATCACTTGTTGGTATTTCGCACCACCTACTAAACCACGAGAAGCCACTTGTTGGTATTTACGTTGGGAATCGAGGCCATTCCAGGGCTTGGGTGCCAGGGCTTGGGTGCGAAATGGGTTTGGTCCACTCGCCCCCGCTTCCCAGTGCTCTCCTCGAGGCCATGCCGGTGACGCCGCGGCAGCTGGAGGCCTTGGTGCGGCTCAGCGAGGCGCGGGCCAAGGCGGAGCTGCGGCGCCAGGTGACGGTGGAGGACGTGGAGGCGACTTGGACACGGGGGGCCCGTGGGGGGTGGGGGTGGGGTGGGGTGGGGGGTGGGTGGGGGGGGAAGGGATTCCGCCTCCCGGTGAACCAGGAAAAGCGACAACAAACAGGGACAATGGTTTTGCATATTGACGCACACATGTGTGCAGGAGGTACTTGACCATTTTGGGCTACAAGATCCCAACCAGTTCATTGCTCGACAAGTTCCCTACTGAGAACCAGCAAGTTCAGACGGGTGTCTCTCAAAAAACATCTGCAACCAAACAAGTGTGCCTTTTCTCCGTTGCACTGGAGGTCGGGGCACATTCTCCGACTGAGCTTGCTGTGTCATGGTTTTTGTGGAGGGGAATGAGTCAATGACGGACGCTTTGGGTTCTCAGGGCTCGGTTCTCAGCGGCTGGGGGGGGCAACTTCTCCAGTCAGCGGCCCAGACCTCCGGGCAATTACAAAGGTGGCCGCTTATGCCACATGCCACGTATGGCCGTGGGTCAACACCAATGGGATCCATTTTGGGGTGGGTGCACCACCCATTTTTGTTTACTTTAGTGGGGATTGGTTGATGTTCACTGGGGGTACGGGGTTTTGAGCCATAGCCATATAGGTATACACAGTGCTTGGACCAGTTCCCTTGAAAGTTGTTTATATACAGGGAAGTGTGCCATTTATAGTGAGCACCTATCAGCTACGTGGACTCTCCAAGCCTGGCCCATCCACTGCATTTTGGGACTCTGCAACCTGGAGGTCGGGTACCAACTGGATGCTACTCCCTATGGAATTTTCGTGTCACTTACAGGGAGTATATGCAATACTCGGACCATATTCTTAAGCAGCCGTCGTGATCCGCTTCCATGCGCCTAGGACTAGGGGGAAAACCAAATCCCTGGCACAACCCTCCCCCCTCCGGGGGTTTTGGTGGGGTGGGTTGCAACATGGATCCAGCCTATCATACCCTGCAGCCATGAAGGTCAAAGGAGGCTGTTCAAACAGTTTTGTTGTTTAACTCACTCACTGAGTCCATGGACTTTGAACTTTTGGGGACGACTTTTTGTTGATGAACTTAACAGTATTTAGTTCACTTTTTCTGACCTATCCACTCAGGAAATCAGTCAAAGATGTTTGAACGTGGGGCTGGCCCAGCCGGAAAGCACAAAGCAAACGCCCGAGGACGTGCTGGAGTTGCTGCGAAACGGCTTCGACTTCCAGGCCGAGCGCAATGGCCGACTTTTTTAAAACAAATCGACTCGCCGGATACCCTGAAACTTTGGTGCACTTTGCTCGGATGCTAGGACTTTAACTTTTTGCCAACTACTGGGTTTCCATTAAACCACTAAAAGTTAAACGTTTAGCAGGGGAGCAAAAAGCAACCGGGGAAATGTGTGTAGAAGTTTTGAGGTCTCTTCACTTTCTCCGAAAATGGGGCCAGGCATGTGGCCAAATGCTTGGCCTTTTTTGGGTTGGTTGCTTTGCGGGCAAGACAAATTGGGGTTCGATCTGGGGGCTAGGCGCCTCAAAAGCAACTTGGATGCTCTTTGGTCGAACCTTCAAGGACCCAACTAGCCGAACCGTTAATTTGATTGTTTGTTGTTTTGCTTCGCAGTTGTTTTGCGGCCTGCGTTTTGTGCAAAAAAAAGAGCACGAGCAGCAAGTCAAAATGCCCTGCCTGTTCTTGTGCGCCTGCTTGTCAGGTCTGCTTTGTTTGGTGAAATGCGCACGCCTTCGGTGGTGCCCCTTCTTTTTTGAGGTACCCCCAGAGAACCGCAAGTTTTGCACCATGGGCTCCAAAAACCCTTTTTGGGTGAAGCCTCAGGAGGAATTCCTGACTGTGCCGGTGCGCAAGGGCAAGACCAAGGCTGGGAACGGCCAAGGCTCATCTCGATGGTTTTGGGCCCTGTGAAACCGGGCCACCTCGATCGGCTGAGGCCACGATTCATCCGTAGCCCCACCTATCCCCATCAGTCTTGCTTCCCCAAATCAAGGCCTTAGGGGCCTATGTCGGGAAACAAGGGCGGAGCGGGTGTTGACATGTTTGCAGATTGGCACTTCTCCCTGAGTCAAGTCACGCCCAGCTCTTTTTTTCAGCCCCTGTCCTTCAGGCCTTTTCGGTCGCTGAGCTTTTCCAGCCCCTTAAGCTTCAGCCCCACCGTTTGTGCTGCGCGGCGCGAGTCGCGCGTTTGAGGCCAACTTCTTGGTGGACCGCCTGCAGCAGTTCATGGACCGCCGCGTGCGCGCGCGGCCCCAGGACCCGAGCGCGCGGGTCTTCCGAGAGCAGGAGCTGAGGCAGGCGGCGGGGCCGCAGGTGGAGGTCAAGGACTGGGACAAGGCCGGGGGCGGTGAGTCAGGGACCCTGTGCAGCACAGTACCTCTACTTTTTGTGGACGATCAATTCGGTACGTTAGTTAAGTGGTTAGTAAGCCTACAGGAGACTGACCGGAGACTTGCAACCCACTGAACGGGGACTTATTATCATGGCTTTTGTACCCTCTACTTGAAGGCGCAGGGTGTGGGCAGTACGCCTGGCTTTAACCCACTTACCGTTATAAGTCTCCCTTCAGTGGGTTACAATCCGGCTTACTATCCACTTACCTTTGGCCTTTGGTATGGGATCGCCCCTTCAAGACTCTAAGTTGTGTGTGTTTCTGTCTAGGTTGACCCACCCAATGGTCAAGCCTGAGGCTTGCGCGCTTGCTGGTAGGCTACGAAGTTCGAACCGCTGAAACCCCAGACCTCCGGAGGTGCTGGGATCAAACCCAGGCATAGAGCCCTAGCTCACTTCCTGAGTTACTGGGCTTCAACAAAAAAATATGGGAAGACAAGTTTAGTGGTAAACACAAAGCTCAGACTCTGTGTGGCCCATCCACTCAGGAAGTGAGCTAGGCATCACTTTGAATGTAAATGCTCAAGTGCCCCATAGTGCCTTTCTTTGTTGTTTTGCCTCTTTCCTCAGGTAGCCCCTAAAATGAAAAACCCCCTCGAACTACTTGAAGGGAAGCTTTTTTTTTTTTTTTTTTGGGGGGGGGGGGCAGGTGGGATTTACGGCTAAACTATCAATCAAAGTGGTACCCATGGCCACTGGTCTGGGAAACATGGATTTTGGTTTGGCGGGCATTCTCTTGAACAACGGAAGGTGGCAACGCTACGAGTGAAAGCTCACAGAACGCCCCCTCTTTCACGCCCCGTTTGCGGTGTTTGCTGTTTCCTCGTTGAACTTTCCGCCATGGCATGGAGAGAACATGAGAGAACTAATCTTTCAGGCGCCCTCCCATAGGTGCCATAGTGCACGGGGAAGGTCTTGTTTTGTTCGCTCTCAAGTCTTCCAAAGAGTCTCACTGTGGGAAGACCGTGTCGGTGGCAAATCGAAAAGTCCCTACTGTTGCTGGCCAATCCACGCGGGAAGTTTGAAAAGATCCTTTCGGGCAGCGTGCTGCTTCATTCCCTTCGGATCTCGCTCAGCCTTTCCGACAGGCCATGAAGCTTCTGAACGAGCCTGGGACCTTGACACTTGCCGGGGGTGGCAAGTATACCTACAATCCGGGGATTTGAGGCTGCTGGAGTCATGTTCCTGGAGGGTCCACCCAGCTCACGAACGGGGTCCCGCAGTTCGGGTGAGTAAAATATGATAGATGGTATGCGTAGCCTTGCATGGGTATATGGGTTGGATACATTCGGCATCACCACCCGGAAGGTTGTCAGAACCGATTCAAGAAGACCTACCTGCAACTTGGTCGCTTCCTTGTTTCAAATTGGTTTGTTGCATTAAATGATTGTATCATGAAGCCAGATAGATGGATAGCGAATAAAGGTGGCAAAACACAACGTGGTCAGTGACCCTTATTCAACGCTCAATGCAAAGCTTGATTCCAGCTGCTTCCTGGCGTCACCGGGGCTTGGGGGAGCCCGGGCAAAGGACGCCCAGGGGAAAAAGGAAGCGGCGAGCGGCGCGCCCTGCGCCCTGCACAGGTGGGGTGACCCGTTGAACGGGTTCTAAAACATAGGTAGGATGCTAAGCACATGAGAAGCCTTTTAGGGTCTGAGAAGGGTTTCGCCAAGCACCCCCAAAGACCCCTCCCCAACCGAGTCAGAATACTTGTGCAGAGCAAAGCATGAGCTCAACGGTCCGCGATTAAAGCCACATCCCTCGCCGAATGATTTGACCACATACTTGGCCATGAGGCTTTGGGAATCCCCACTTTCTACTGTGGATCTTGGAAGCCCTGGGCGGTGTGGTGCACGGCGCTTTCAAGGCCTCGATGTTGTGATTTGTTTTTGCGTTTTTTGGCCCAAAGCAATTAGAGAGACATCCTCGAGCTCCAGTTGGGGAAACAATTCCATCGGAAACTTTCCCATGTACCTGCCAACTTGCGGCTTATTTGGCCCTGGCTGGAAAGCACTACATCCGGGGCCTGTCAACCACCAATCTATATCAATCTCATGTAATTTGTGGAGATTACGAGTGCGGACCGAGCTAGGGCCTGACGACAGACAGTTTTTTACTGACCCAAATGTCCACTTTCTCACTGGTGACTTGTGGGGTGAATATTTGAAGGTGGACTCAGAACGGTATCCCAATCAACCCCCAGGCCACTAGCAAACTTCCCCTTTTGACATCATAGAACTCACTGCTTGCCTCCCCCGGCAGCTCGAAAGGAAATGGCGATGCTACCGCTGCACATGGACAACAACAATTGGTCATGTCGGTGTTTGCCTGTTTTTCTACATGGCTATGGGTCAAAACCCCGTACCCCCAGTGAACATCCCAATCCCCACTAAAGTAGGTTCTAAAATGGGTGGTGCGCCTACCCCAACATGGCATTGTACCATTGGTGTTGACCCGCGGCCACATGTCAGCATGCTCACCATTTGGGGATTCTACAACGTTTGCATGGGTGCAGCACTGTGCATTTCTGCGACAAACCGCAGGGTAGTTTGTGAGGCCTCCGGCGGGCTTTGAAAGACCCTTTCACAGATGGCTAGACTGAACTAACCCTATTGCCTTTGGCCCCTCTGTGGATTTCTGCCGTTTCGCTTTTTACGGCAACTTGTTCTCTCTGTTTTTGCTGGGCCTGGGGCTACGTACACGTGACTGCAGGAGGCAAATGAGCCCATGCCAGCCCCAAATCAACTCAAACAGCCTCACTTACCCAAAGTGAATGGACCCATTCACGTTAGTCTTCACAATTGTGATTCCCAATGTTGGCCCCTTTTAAGCGAAGTTCCACAGGTAATTCCTCTCACCAACAAACATGGCAGCACGCAGCACCTTTCCAAAGGGAGTTTTCAAAAGGGTACTGTGCACCAGATCACATGTTGGGGGATGAGGGTAGTATAAGGGTATATGGTACTAAACAAACGCATGCATTCATTCTTTTGATCATGACTTTACCTTGCCTTTAAGGTGCCCCACAAACCATTCCGGCAATGCGGGTCCTCATGCCAATCTGTGATTTCCAGGGCCTGTACTAGCTTAGCAGTGACTCAGGCTGGATGCGGCCACTACAGAGGGAGGTAGCTCTCAGGAGCTGGGCGAGTTTCAAATGCTCCGTGCCTTGGCCGGTTGGGGAGCCTGGGGAGGGGATTAAGACCATCCCAAGCAGGTCCACCATTTTGAGAACAACCCATATGACCATGTTTTTCTGGTTTCAAGCATCACCTGTTCCTTATGGTAGTTGGCGATGTCCAAAAGGGAAGGATAGGAAGCCCTGTTGTTTTTGGGCGGCTACCCTGTCCAGGAAAGTTTAAAGGGACATCAAGGAAATCCATTTTTTTTTTTTGTAAGTTTTGGGGGGGTTACCCCAGCTTTGGGCCTTGAATTTCCGTGAGTGCCAGACTAGTCCAGCGCCTATGCCTAGGAAGCCAGGCTGCTGTAGGGGCGAGCCAAGAGATGTCCCCATGTGTGACCCATAGCCTGCTAGCATGATAGCATAGATCTAGGGGTACCTTCCATTTCCATTTTTTCCAGAGATCCTTCTTTCTACAAAAGCCTCCGGAAACCCAGGGAAAATGGATACGGTTTCCGAGAGAACAATGGTTGAAAAGAGCTAGAGCAAACCATTCGAGTCGCCGAGGCAAGGAAGCCGAACTCGGCTTCCTGCGATCGGAGCTGGCAAAGGCCCACACAGAGAAGAAGCGCTACGCGGAGGAGAAGGCAGGGGCGGGAAAGTTGTTTTCGTTTCAGCCACCGTTTAGTGGGGTGAAAATGGGGAACAGGCAGAAGTTCAGTGGCATGTTTATTTTAGTTTTCTCCCTTGATTGAATCTCGCTGAAAATTGTCAACCACCAAAATTGGATCAACATGGTGTCCTTTGCTACCAGGGTCACTGGAATACCCAGGATCAACTGGATCGATGGATACGGGAAAGTTGGTTTCCAAGCAGGGGTTACCTTTTGACAACCTTTTCGCGGTGGGTGGAGTTTCATGGGGTTCACGGTAAGGCCCGAATACGCGTTCACGCTAGAGTCAAAAGTGAGATTAAATTGGGCACTCATGTGCGGTGTTGCCTTCATTCCCTCACTCCCTGAGCTCATGGACTTCAAACTCTCTGGGGGGACCAGTGTAGTGGTAAAAACTCAAAAAGCTTGGGACTTTTTCTGGCCAACTGATGCCAACCGTCTCAGGAAGTGAGTTTCCCCTTGAATCAAAGACCCCCGAGTTCACGGACTTGCGGTCTGAGCCCTCGAGCCTAGGTGCGTCAAGCCTTGAAGCTCATGGCAGCGCGCCAGAAGAAGTCCCGGGAATCCTGCAGCGCGCAGGCCGACATTGTTCAAAGCATCCTTTGCTCTTATGAAACCTCCGTTTCCTGCTTCTTCAACCCAAGAACCTCTCTTCCTCCTTCAAATGCTCCTTGCTAGCCGATATAGAAGATGCTCGGTCGTCTCAGAACCACTTTGGCAAGGGGTCTTTGACCCCGAAGGTGTCGTCAGGACCCTCAGGACCCTCAAGCAAAAAGCTGTTCCATTCAACCTAAGACGGTCGACACTTGCTGAGGAAGAGCAAGGCAGTTCATAGCATGGGGGCCGGGGCTAAGTGGCTTTCAAAGGGACACTTAGATCCAGACTGGGAAAAGGGATGCGTTCTTTGTGGGTTGTGGATTTGGGGTATAAGTGGCCAGGAGAAAACCCCTCCCCGCCCCGCCCCCGGCTAATTAAAAGTGGTCATTGGAGTTGGCATCCCACTGTGGTATCACAGTGGCTTGTTTCCAACAACCAGGGCTCAAAGACAACTTCCGGGAAAGTATCCTCAAGTTTGCAGAAAACGAAACCAACGAAACAATATCGCAGCTACGATCACCTGTTGTTTGTTGTTCTTGTTATATGGGTGTGTCTTGTTTTAGGTGACCCCCTGAAAAATGATGGTCCTCCTTTTGGTTTCCCCTGAAAATCATTTAAAAGGGTTCACCCTCAAATAAATGGATACACCCCATACAAGGGCGCATGCTGCCCGTGGCGGCTCATTTGGGGATGACGCAGGTCGAGGAAATGGCCCAAGCGCTGCAAGCGGTGAATGACAGGACGGAAGGGCCACTGGAAGCATAACGCTGAGTTGCCCAGGTTAAGGAGTGGAAACACCGGATAAAGCGAGGGAAACCACATGGAAGATCCTGTCCACGTTGCCATGGAAACCTTATGTTTCGGGGTCCTGGCAGACAATGTGAAAAAAATGGAGCCTTTGGTGGGTTCCATGTTAGTGGACAGGAGGGTAGATCCTTTCCGTGGGGATCCTGAAAGCTTCAGGTTTCGATTTTGGTAGTAGAGAGTCTGCATATGTTTTCGACCGTTTTGGACGCCCTTTTTGTTCGTCCAAGGGGGCATCTACCTTTGTTTGTTATCTTGCCTGTATCTTATTTGGAATGGGCTCCCCTGTGAAAAGTCAACTTCCAATTCAAGGCTATCCATTCTTGTCCGTGGCCACCGACAAACAAGTTAGATTTCGGAACCTCTGAACAGCAAAGCTCCTGACCTAGGTCAACAAAGGAGGGTTTGTCAGTTTCACGCTTCCATTTTGCGGGCCGAAGCTCGCATGTTTGTTCCCTGTTCGTTGGAGATGCTGCCGCACTGGAGTGTGGCACTTGACAGAGTGACTGCTTGACAACGAATATCATATGGGTATGTTCGAACAATGTAAGCGCTGGTTTGCTCTAAGTACAGGCACAGGCCCCTGAACAAAACACTTGCTTCTGATAGTGATCTGGGGACCATGCTTGCCCAGTTTGACATCAGGTGTTTCCTAAGATAGGGCCCAAAGCTTTCCTCATGGTTTCCTAAAGGCAAGAGGTAGAGTCAAACAGTGCTAGTGTTGCGTGGGCCGGTGCTGGCCTTATCCAGTGCAATGTGTGTGTGTGTGTGGTGTGTGTGTGTGTGGGTGTGTGTGTGTGTGTGCGTTTTGAATCTTAAAGTGTTGGTTAGTGCCGACGTCCTTAAACATGAAATTGGTAAATGTTGGCTTCCTTGGAATTTCATGTGCATGGTTCAGTTCCCCTTTGTACTTGGCGAACTAGGCAAACGTATTTTGCTGGGGGATCTTGCTGGGGTCTTCCTGGGGGTAAATTATCAAAGTCAGCAATTGGTGCTGTTTTCCCCGCAGCCCATCACTTGCGGGAAGACTTGGATGATGGCAACACAATAGCTTTGGGGGAAGGGGGGTGGCCCTGGCAATTAATTTTGCAGTTTAATTTGTCCCTTTGCTTTGTTTTGCTGAAACATGAGTTGGCGACTCCCTCTTCCTTAGAGGGGCTTGCGGCCTAACACCGAGCATTGGTGAGGAGTATTGAGGCGATATTCGAGCTGCTTGGCATGACAGTGGGCACTTGTGCAGAGGGAGATTGGCTTTTCCAGTGTTGGCCCGACAAGTGAGTGGCGTTTTTGTCCCCGCTCATGCAAACATATCTAGAGGGAGACATGTCAACAAAACAGGCTGCAGCCGCCGAAGGTTTGCGGAGGGTTTGCGGAGGCTTGTTTTCTTGCGGAAGCTCGCGGAAGGGACGATTTTTTTTTCTTTCCAGAAGTACATTTGCTCTTACTAGGATTGCTAGCAGATTGTGCACACGAACTTCCTCGTGGAAGCTACCCTCCTCCATTTCCAGAAATAACGTGCCCGCGGAAGGCCCGCGGAAGCACTTGTTGTAGGGAAACATGCTCGCGGAAGGCTTCGCGGAAAGGATCCTGTACATGCATTCAAATTGTAAGGGAATAAACACCACCACTACAGTAAATCTGTGAGTTCTTTGTTGTTTCTTCCTCCCCGAGTTTCTGCACATAGTACTGTTAAAAAGCGACCGTTCAGGGGCAAACAACAAGTTTTGACTTGTTCAAACAACTCGCCCAGGAAGTGACCGTTTGATTCCTGTGGGCAAACTACAAAGGGCCCGCCTGGAGGTACTTATTTCCAGTTTATTTGTTTTATAAGTCATTTGTCCAGATTTCTGGGTTCTTGGGAGGTTCTGATCGCCCATGCTGTCCTTGTTTGTCGGTTGCTGCTGGATGATGTTGAGTCTAGGCCTCGCGAAGTTTGCATGAGATGTCTTTGAGCAAAAAGCGCGCCCTGTGGCTTTGACTTTCATGTCGCCACGCCTTTCTCAATGTATGAAGCCCTGGGCCCGCCCAGTACTGGAGATAACATGTTTCTGGACAAGCTTTTTCGGAAGACCCACTTTCGTTATGCCTATTTGGTTGGATATTTGGACTTTAACTTTTGGGAAAGCTGTGTGGATGTTCCATTGGACCCACAGGAAGTTAAACTTTTGCAGCCACCACCCCGAAGCCCCCGCCTATTGCCTCCGTTCTGGCGAAAAAGGCGCCCTACGGTCACCAGTGAGTGCTTTTAAAACTCCGGACACTCTGGGAGAGTTTCAGGTTGACATGAGGCGGGGTCCACGAGCTTGCTTTGTTCAATGAAAGCAAGCTTCACCTCAAAGAGAGAAGCCCGGTTTAGTGAGTGGACGAGTTTCTCATGACAATGCCCAACTTTGGAAGCAAAACACACATTTGTTGCACGTAATGAGTTTTTCACTATTTGAAGACATGACAACGATGAACAGTGTTACGCATTCCCTTCCCCCAAAAAAAAACACACACCACAAGTTCGTATCAGCGTCATTTGTACCCATCTCTTTAAGGTTGGAGCAAAGTTGAGCATCTATTTTCCATGTATTTGGTTCAATCAGCCTTGGCCTCTCCTTTGCCACCCTACATTTCCCCCTGGGCTGGTATTCAGCCGCACCTTGGGTCAACTTGACGCGAGGTTCCGTTCAGCGGGATGTTTCAGACAGGAAGTCCCGTTCGCTTTGAGCGAGGTACAAGCGGCAGCTGGCGGCGGAGACCCTCCGCGCCGATGCCGCCGAGGCAGCGCGAACTGCGGCCGAGGCGGCGCGGGAGGCGGCGCTTGAGGCGGCGCGGGAGGCAGAGGCGGGCTGAAGACCATTGATTCATGCACGTGTGAGCATCACTTACCCTTGGCCACGAGGCTGCGCTACTTGGCTATGAATTTCAATCACTTTGATGGACATGAATCCATGTTCACCAAAACCAAAAAGCGAACTTAGACCTACTTGGTTAAATTGAAACAGCAGGCCAAGTTACATGGCCCCCGCGACCCAAGCGACCGTCTCAAGGCTCCACCGGAGCCCCGCGCGCTCCACGGCGCCCCTCTCGGATTCGGCGCCTTTGGGGCGCTGCGGCGCTTCACCGAGCGCCTGCTGCAGCGGCAATCATGGCCCGGGCCCCAGAGGCGTCACGACGACGGGAGGTGAGCTGTGAGGCTCCGCCTTTGCCTTTGGGTAGTTTAGATGCTTTACCTACCCGAATGAGACCTTTAGCCTTTATTTGGGACGTTGAAAGGGGTCAATAGGAGGAAGCCTCTTCATGTATGCCTGTAATGCACATGGATATGTGGTTGTCAACAGCTGTTCAGGGATCGGAGGTGTAGGCGTGACGCTGCTCGTCAGTCCGAACTCTCCACTGAGAACTTCATCGCTCTTCGCTCTCAGGTGCAAAGGCCAGCAAGCACGGGTATGCATAGGTGTTTTGGGTAAGTTTCCTTGAACATTGCCGCGGTATCCTCCCCATTTGGGTGGGGGTCTTTTGTTGAGGTTGGACCCCCAAAACGATGGATTTCCTTTGGTTTCGCTTTACAACCGCCAAAAGATGGGAGCGGTACCCTCACAAGAAAAACATCCCTTTGTGAAACGAAGCTGCGGCTGAGGCTTTGGGCCTTCTATGTACACATACTGATTCTCTACTTCTTGGTGCCGCGCTCAGCCGGCCCTACTTTTTGGGGCTTGCTGCTGGTTCCTGAAACCACAATCACAAGACCTAGGAGAGAAATTGGGTATAGCGCATGGTGACATATCCCATGTGTGTTTCTTCCTGGATCACTGACAGTGAGCCTGTCAGGGCGATTCAAAATTACTGTTGGGGGTTGGAAGCCCCTGTGAAGCACTTAGAGGTTGTTGAGGATGAGGAGCCCCTGTAGCCGACGAAGAGGTTTGTTAGGAGCTCGTTTTTGTTCCCTTAAGTTTAATGCATCAAACGGATGTCAGCTACTTTTCGGGAAGACCGACCTGGTGGCCAAAAAACGCCTTCTGCCTTCTTTTGGCCACCCGAATTGGTCTTTTCTTGCCGTGGTGGTGGTGAGTTCGGCCGGGGTGAGCCGGGCTCTGCGGTCTCTTGGTTGATGCTATGGGCTTCAGGCCGGGGCTTCTAATTACTCACTCGGGTTTTCTGCCGGGTTTTTGGGAAGGCCGGTTGTGTGAAGAACTGAAGAATCTGAGAAGTCCAAGGCTTTTGCCAAGTTTCTGGTCAGCCGACCATTTAATCCATTTAGGGGCCTGATGGTGAGTCATGGCCCCTCGAACAAAGGTGTTCAGTCAGGTGATGGCGCTTTGCCTCCAACTGCTGGACAAAACGCCGGCACCAGTTGGTAGGTAGCTTTTCCCTTTGTGGCTATTTGGTTGGATCTTTGGACTTGAACTTTTTGGAGAGCAGTGGATTTTCCAGTGGGCAACAGCAACCAAGTATCCCAGTTTTCGCTTCCTCAGCATCATGGGGTTCCTGGCCTTTGGAGGGTAAGGAACCCAAGAACCGCCCAAAGAGCAACGTTTGGCCAGACCCCATTTCCTTAACCATGGAAGGGAGGTAACCCTGCAATTGCTTTCATGACCCCAGTTGCCGTTGAGGACGGACTCAGCTGGTGCTTGAACAGAATGATGGTTGCCAAGAACAGAGGGTCCAAAATGAGGAATCCTTCTAAGATGGATGGCTTTTTGCTGGTTTCCCTGCAGGGAAAAAAAACACAGACGACCACAAGAGCTTTCGATACGTTGCTCTGTCCGCGCCGCTCGGCTGGCAAAGGCTCGCCAGCGGAATCCTGCAAAGAGCAGTCGGATCGCATCGGGGTCATCACATCAAGGGCCCCAAGTGCGCGCAGAATAACCACCAGGCGTTTGACTTTTCCGAAAAGAAGCCAAAGGATGATGAATATGGTTTTTTTGTCGTGATTGTTTTTTTGTTGTTCCGGACCCTCTATTGCAAACTGGTAGGTCTAGGATGCTACCTTCTCAGTCAGCGTGACCATAGGTCGAAGAAACCCGCGTAAAGGGCACTCCGAACTGGACAAGAGCACAAACCAGGAGAGATTGGACTTTGGCCCAGGGAAAACCCATTCAGATTCAAGTAGGTAGTCCCATGTCCTTACCCAACGAACCATCCGCTGTGATTGTCAGTTGCTCGTGCGTGCCGAAAATTAGAAGCCCCCTACTGAAACTTGCCCATCGCTCACACAGGGCACTGGCCTTCAGGTGGTAAATGGCATAATGCAAAAGACGCCAATCACATATGAAGCTCACTTCCTGAGTTACTGGGCTTTAGTCCCTTTTTGGGAAGACCATTTTTGTGGTAAATGAAAAGTTCAGACTTTTTGTTGGCCAGACTCTCCTACTTCGCGCCCTGTACAGCTTGCCATGCAGCGGAACGACTCGCTGTCCGAGATGATGGGCGAACAGCGGGGGCCTGAGGATGGATCAAATCGCAATTTGTTGGTCTCTAAAATGAAGCGGAAGCGCAAAAGTGTAGACTTGCCGTGTGGAAGGTGGGGCAACGTGCGATTCGCCTTTGGTCTTTAAAATCGATCAGTCGCAGACCTCCAAAAGGGGGGGGAGGGGGGGGTGGGCTGGGACCTATTTAGCAATTGAAAAAGCCTTCTTTTGGGGCTTATCTTTGGCTTCTCGTGGGCCTGTCCAATGATAGCCTGTTGGAGGCCTATCTCGTGGGTATGTCCTTTGATGCGCGCAGTACTCCTTTTGAGAGGGGGGTGGGGTGTTTCAAAGGGATTTCGAAGGGAAGCCTCCCTTTGCAAATCCGCGACCTGGTTTTGACAGGTATGTTGCCCTTTAGGCCCACCGAATACTGTCATGGTTCACCAAATCCTGTTTGCCAGAAGCTGCAAACTGTTTTGTTTGGTGGGAAGCTGAGGCAGGTGTTGGTTACATCTGATCGATTTTTGGGCCGGGCCCAAAAAGCAGATTCACAAACGGTTTCACTCTTGGGCTATTGTAGGCCCAAGGTGGGTGACATGCTTCTGGGAACCCACGTTTTGGCATCCTTGGTTAGGGACCTTTGGAATTATCTAAAACGTCTTCGTTTGACGTGGCGCTATTTAGTTGCGATGTTATGCCTCATTGGCATTTGTTCAGAGTGTTGCTAACTTCCTTTAAAATACGTCCCAAAAAGGGGGGGTCCTCATTGTATTTGTTTGACTTGAGGCTTTGTGGGCCCGCAACTAAGGTGGGTTTATTCAGTAGGGCTTTCGGAGGGTTCTCCGGCTTTTTCAGGGGTCACAACGCTCCAACAGGGATCCTCACTTTTATCAGGTCTAAGAACGAACCGCAAGTTTTATGATAACCTTGGGTTTACGCGCAGGACAAGTCTAGTGAGTCTAGCGTTGAACTGTTTAGCGCTCACCTCGGCAGTGAAGCAAGCTCGGCCATGATTATGTTTCATTGCGTGGGAATACTGTGGATTCTTCAATTCAGGTTGTGAATTTGATAGCTGCGTAATCTGGCAGCATTGGAGCGAAATTGGAGCGTGCGCCATGATTGCTTTCTTTGGGTTCCGTCCCCATGTGCAAGTGCTACTGGACACATTGTCATTTTGTCCGCACTAAAGCAAAAGGTTTGGCATACATGCGAGCTGGAAGGGGGGCCGCAGCGGCAAGGGTTCCAGGCATTGCCAGAAGCTTCGCCTTGAACTGTGGGACTGCGAGTCTGCGACGAGAAATAGACCCAGCACTTGAGGCGCTTTGCACGAACGCAGTGAGCGTAAAGGATCACTCCTTTGGTTTTCATGGGAGCCCGCTTAAGAAGGTCCGCCGTGTGGAGACAAACCATATGTGCCATGGTCAAAACTCTCTTTTTTGCTTGGATTTGGTAGGGGCAGTCATCGACCCCTTGTAAGAATTTGACGGGCAGCATAGCCATGGAGCCGACAACAGCATGGAGATTCCCAAAACGGAGATGAAATTAGATCAACGGATTTATGTTTTGTCTCCCCTTCATATTTTCAAGCATCACCCCCAAAGTCAGGCTTTCTACACTAACATGGAAGCTCCCAGAAGCCTCTGTAAATGGAGCCAAGTCTTCTAAACGGGCTCTGGGAGCTTCCATGCTAGTCTGGGGGAGGGCACCTCCACATGTTTCCCTTGATTTCAGTCCAACAGCCCTCAAGATCCCCTTGGCTGAGCCAGGGGCCGCGGCCGCGGCCTGGCAGATCTGAAAGGCGGGCTGACCGCGGAAATTGAAGAATTTGATCGGTCAGTATGGGGTTTTACATCCATTGCATCCGCAGTGTGGCTGTTCAAGCGTGAAAATGTGCGAGCAGCGCACTTGGACGGTTTGTTGTTTCCTTTTGGGCCCCAAACCGGTAACTCTTGAATCTATAGGTTATCAGCCGTAGGCCCCTAGCTCTAAGCAATGGACGGTTCCCTTGTGCCAGTTGATGGATCCAGCATGCCTGTGGATGCTGCCGGAGCTAGCTCCGGCAACGCCACCGGCGGCGGTGTGCGAATGTTCGCATCAAGCGCTAATGCGCAATACAACCGCACCCTGATGAATTCCCTTCAACTGTACAATACCGCAATCTTTGCTTTTGGGAATGATGCAGCCATTAGGTCTGAAGCCGAAGCCCTGCATCAAGCAGCTGTTACGCATTTGCAAGCGGAAAACCGTGAGGAGCTCCGTGCCGCACAGAATCAGCTGCATGCACACTACGCTGAATGTGTGCAAGCCCAGTCGCATAGGATTCGTGAATACGAACAGCGAGTGAGCGATGAGTTCGTTCAAGAAGTGAACTTCGCTGAAGCTAGGATAAGCCAAGTGTGTGAGGAAAATGCCCAAGCATTGCATGAAGCGGAAATGGGACGCAAAACAACTGAGTTTAGGCAAGCCATCGAATCCACCCTGGCGGAAGCCCAGCAGCTCCTTCATGAGCAAGCTGCCAAGCATGCCGATGACACAGCCCGTGTTGAGGCGACACACGCCAGAACGGTTGACATGATGGCCCACCAAAACGGGCTTCTGCAGGACGAGCTCGATGAGCTGAAGAAGTATCAGAAGCAACACGACCTCCGCGAGGATGGATCGAAGCCCAAAGGGGTAGGTGATACCCGAGAGGATTCACCAGAGTTGATGACCGATGACATGAAGTCAGCTCGGTCCCAAAGGTCAATGTTGGACCCGCTTACCCATCCGTTTCAATATGCAAAGGAAAAGTTGAGGTCGCTTGTTACCTATGACGGTTACGGGGATGAATATACCCCCAGCGTGATTCCAACTGCCGAATGCGAAGCACTGCCCGCAGATGCTCGCGATCCGCAAGGACCAGCTGAAAAGCCATCAGGTAGCAGCCGATCCCCGGTGAAAACAAGTGCACCGGTCCCACCCCTGCAATTCTCTCAGGGGCCAATGTCAACTGACCGCAAGCAGGGTGGTAAGCCTCCCGGCGGTCCGCCACCTGATGATGATGGCGATGGCGATGGTGATGAAGACGAAGGTGATGGCCTCGGGCCTAACCTCGGCAATGAAGCATTCGCCAAGATGTTGATGAAGTTAGTAAAAGGCCAAACGAACGATGAAAAGCCCAGAACCCGCGAAAGCGAGACGTTGCGATTCAAGGAGATGCCAACTCCTGAAACGTACCGTGAATGGAAAACATCGGTTCGTGAGGATGTCCGCGCCGCATCTGACCGTCCAGACGAGGCTTGGCCTTGGATCATGGAAGTCTGGTCCGATCGCGAGGACAAGAAGAAGCTGTTGGAGGAGCTCGGCGAACCGGGAAAATTCGTGACCCTAGACACGAAGATTCTCGCAGCGCTCACGCGTTCAGCGAAAGGCGATCTGGCTCAGCGAATCCTAACAGCAAAGGAAGAATGTGCCAAGGAGGGAAAGGCCATGAGAGGAAGGCAGGTCTTGTTTATGTTTGACCAATATTTCAAGACCAGTGAAGAAGCCGGAAACCTCTACTCCTTGGAGGACCTGTTGCGTGTCTCGCGACACGGCGAAGGAATCATTGATCTCAAACGTTTCCTGAACGCTTGGGATTCCGTGATCGCCGGCATGAAAAGGCCGCCGGAAGAAAAGGTGTTGAAAGACATCTTGCTTCGCCAAGTGAGAAGCTGCCATCTGTTGCGGTACGACATTGACACATATGATCGTTGCCGTGATGATGATCCCAACAAATCGTACGATTTCCTAATGCGTTGCATGAGGGATCTAATCGAGAGGGATAGGCTTCGCGAGAACCGAGAGCGCGTGTCCAAAGTCAATGCCAGTAAAGCCCCGACGCCCAAGGCTGGTGCTGCCGCCCCTGAAAAGAGGGACCCCAAGAAAAAGAGCGCACCTAAGCCGAAGGACACCGAGGAGAAGTACTGCTTTGACTTCCAGAAGGGCTCGTGCACGAGGGGGGCAAACTGCCCTTACGCGCACCGCAAGGAGCCGCGAGGACGCTCCGCGACCCGTGGCAGGCCAAGTTCCCCCAAAGGCGGTAAAGGAGAGAAAGCACCGTGTTCTTTCTTTGCCCAAGGGAAGTGCACTAGAGGTGACAAATGCAAGTTTAGCCATGCCTCCACGGGCGGCAAATCTGCCGCCGCGGCATCGAGCAGCGAGGCCAATGCAAATCCTGCGGCTAAGAAGCGTGCAAATTCACCTAAGCCTAAGCCCAAGGCCAAAGCCGCTGCAGTCTGCACCAGGTACGCCATGTTCGCAAAGCCGATCGATCCAATCGGAGTGTCATTCGACACCAATGCTCATGTGCATGAGATCCCCGCCGAAGGCGATGGTTTTAAGCTTGAGTATGAGGAACGGCAGTACAATAGGATGTTTCCAAGTGCTAAGGACTGCCCCAGGCCGACCAAAGGGACTAACAAGGCAGCGCGCAAGGCCGCGAACCAGTTGAATGCCGTAGTCAAAGCCATGGAGAATGGAGCCCAGCCCGCTTGTGGTTTCATGTGCGATGTGGAATCCGATTCCATCTCAAGCCTATCGTGTGATGAGTGCCTGAGAGTTGCCATGCCGCCTCACGATGTTCGCAAGGATGTCGAAGCGCCAAGGGCAGCCACCCCTGCCCCAAAGGGAAAGGATGTGTGGCTCATTGATTCCGGTAGTGAGCAGGACCTCACCAGCAAAGCTGCACTGAGGAATACGTCCAAGGCAATTCGAAAACAGGCCCCTCAGCCCATTCGCCTTGTGACTGCAAACGGAAACATCACTGCTTCCGAAATCGCCGACATCAATGTCGATGCATTGTGTGAGCCTGCTCAGCCTTACATCCTCGAGAGTTCTCCCGCAGTGCTGTCGCTGGGTGTGAAGTGTCTGGATCAAGGATATTCCTTCCATTGGGAATCCGGGAAGGCGCCAACCATGGTTCGCCCTGATGGTGCTCTGATCCAGCTCAAGGTTGACAGTCGTGTGCCATATATGGATTCTAGCTGTGAAGCTGAGCCATCGTTGAGTGCAGTAGCAGCATCCAAGCCAGCGCCTGCGCCGGTTCATGACGAAGGCATCGACGAAGGTGATGATCCCGACGATGAAGTTGAGCGGTTCGTGAGATCCCGCAAAGAGCAAGATCTGGTTGCCGAAGCAGGTACCAAAGAGCACTTGTTTGCACACTATCCGAAGAATCCCTTTTGCCGCACTTGCCAACGTGCCAAGATGCTTGCCCCATATGCAAGATCGAAAGGCGGGCAGGGAAGGCTCGAGACGAAAGCGTTTGGAGATCACATCATTGCTGATCATGTGATTCTCAAGGCCAACATCGAGCAAGGCATCAAAGGTGAATGGTGTGCTCTTGTGATCAAGGACGTGCACACGCAGTTCAGGTACGTTTACCCGTCGACCAGCAAAAGCACGGAGCAATCCGTTGCAGGGATCCAGCATTTCATTTCCGGTAGGGATGAGGTTGAGGTTCTCTACACCGATAACTCCCGGGAATTGAAAGCCGCAATAGAGCAGTTGGGGTACCGTCATCAGACCTCCATCGAATATGTTGATTCTTCCAAATCTTTCGTGGAAAGGGAAATCAGACATCTGTTGGAGGGAGCACGTGCGAACCTTGTTCAGTCAGGGTTCCCACTGTCGATGTGGCCATTTGCTATCCAGCACAATGCAGTTGCGACCAACATCCTGCCACAGTTGAATGGAAACGATTCGCCATGGTACCTCAGGTTTAACAAGACCTTTGATGAAGCTGAGATACCTTTCGGAGCAAAGGTACTGTTCTGGAACAACCCTGCACGAGCCGACAATCAGGCAGGCAAGACTTCGCCAACATCGAATGAAGGCGTGTTTCTCGGGTACCATCTTCAGCCTGGGTTCGCATGGAAGGGTGAGTTCCTCGTTGCAAAACTAGAAGGGCTCGATTACCATATCGAACATGCGTCCCTCACGGTACAGCGAACAAAGCGCATTGAGCTTCCGACTGATGAGTTCATCTTCCCGATGAGGTTGTTGAAAGACCCTGCATCTCATCCACCCGTTGCCAGTGCTAGGACGCGAGATGATCCTGTGCCGTTGGAGCGTGGGCAAGCCCACATCGAGGAACCCGCCGCATCAGAGAAATCCGAAGCGAAGACCAAGCCTGTCGTGCCCGAGAAAGGCGGTGCATTCGACCCGAGCATAATGCCTGATGGGTCACCAGTACCTGATGGCTATGTGTGGGATGGGGTTCGGCTCGTCCGTAGGAAGGCCGGATCCAAAAGGCCTCCCGATATCCCGTCCGACATGTGGGTCATGCTCGGCAGTCAGGACCGAAAGGCCCTAACCCAGCAGTATGAAGATCAGCTCCGTGCAGATGCCAAGAAGGCAGTGCTTGAGACAGCAGTCTCTTCGGAGGCCAGATCCGAGCACCCCGAAGCCGCATCGAGTGCAAAGCCGACCAGCGCCGCCCGCGAGGGCGAGCCGACATTGCCTGTGATCCGGCACGCGCCTGCGATGTCCGTTCTTCCGGAACGCGACAAGTCATCAAAGGAGCCGCATCGCCCGCAATTGCGTGAGTTGGTCAAAGAGCGAATTAAGAAAGTTGAATTTGATGTTGCTCTTGAACTGTTTAGTGCAGTCGTTGCTAGGCTCGTGCCAAAAGCCGAAGTAGCCAATACGCCAAAGGCCCAGGCTGCCCTCGACAAGGAATGGGAAAACCTTCGGAAGAAAGGCACTTGGGACGAGTTCAGAGTAAATGAGTGTAGGCGCGTCATCAGAGAAGCCCAGAACAAAGGGGAAAAGGTTCAC